TTTACTCAGAAATCAGCTAAGAGTGCTGTTATCTCCTTTTGCTTTTATAGGCAGCTTATCAATGGCAATAATGTTTGTTTTTTTTTTTAATTTTTTTTTAAATGTTTATTCAATTTTGAGAGACAGAGACAGAGCATGAGGGAGGGAGGGGCAGAGAGAGAGGGAGACACAGGATCTGAAGCAGGCTCCAGGCTCTGAATTATCAGCATAGAGCCCGACGCAGGGCTCGAACCCACAAGCCGTGAGATCATGACCTAAGCCAAAGTCAGATGCTCAACTGACTGAGCCACCCAGGTGCCCCTAATGTGGTTTTCTTAACATGAATTTTCAGCTAAAAATAAGATTAAATGGCAGGGTGGTGTTGGAAGCAATTCGTTGGTCATAACGTACATTGAAGATTCATCCAGATCAATGGCAGGAACCAGGACAGTGTCTACTAGACTTTCGGAACTTGAGTGATATTGCCATGGCCAAAATGTCATCATTCTACTTTTTTTTTTTTTTTCCACTTTTGCATTATGTATGGAGATTCTCTGTTCAGTAGCACAATTCCTGTCGGTTTACTAAAGGTTTGAAAAAATGAGAACTTTTTAATATCTAGATCCTACATAGGTTGAGACGCTATCACTTAAAAGCCTTATCTGTAGGTGGGAGGGTTAAGTAACCAACAAAATGAAGATCTCTGATATCTGGGATTTCAGTTTTGCTATTGAATACCCAGATGTTACTAGAATTGCTTTCCCACAGTGGCTTGTGCTCATTGTAAAACTTTATCAGTTACAGGGCGGCTGGCTGGCTGAATCAGTAGGGCACAAGACTGTTGATCTTGGGTTTGTGAGTTCAAGCCCCACATTGCGCATCGAGTCTACTTGAAAGAAAGGAAGGAAGGAAGGGAGGGAGGGAGGGAGGAAGGAAGGAAGGAAAGAGAAAAGAAAAAAGAAAAGAAAAGAAAGAGAGAAAGAAAGAAAGAAAAAAGAACTTACCAGTTACCATCTTCTGGTATTCATTACATAGCATTAAATCATGAGGCTGGAGAGAGAAATGGCATAGCATGGATTTTCAGCATTTACATATGTAGAAGTCATTTTGAAGTTGAATTTTGGAGCTTTGACTTACAGAATCTAGAGAAACAAAATAAGATCACTGATCAGATAAGTTTTACACTTTCCCCACCTATAATCCATGCCTTTTTCCGTATTGGGTTCTTACTGAACAAAGACTATCTCAAGAGGACTGAAACTTGTTACCCTCAATGGTGTTATGAGTGGTGTGGAGCATGCGGGCTGAGGCCTGTAACGTGTGCACGGAATCCATGCCTGCAGTGCCCTGCCTGCCCAGGTCCTGGGGCTGAGGGTGGGCTCTGCTCTCCATGCATGAATTCACAGACAACAGAAATGATGTTGGAACAGTGGGAATCAGCAATTTTGCACAGGAAGCTTTGGGAGATGTTGTTTAATGTGGTCTGCCTGAAGTTGGGACCAAACTGAACAAACAAAATGAGTTTGGTGCTTTGGACAGTGTGAAAGCTGCTGGTGAACTCTTATTCTCCTCTATCAGAAGAAGTAACTGAAATTAATGAAGCTCTTAGAGAAAATCCAGGACTTGTCAACAAATCTTGTTAGGAAGATGGTTGGCTGATCAAGATAACAGTAATCCTTCAGAATTGGATGAATTAATGAGTGAAGAAAAATATAAGAAATACATAAAGTCTATTGAGGAATGAAAATGGAATCCCTAAATAAACTAGTATAAACCAAAAAAAAAAAAAAAAAAAGGAAGAAAGAATTGTTTTCTCAGACAACTGGTTTTGCAGTCACCTTGAAGTCTTGTAGGTTATGGTCAGTTGGAGAAGAAGGTGACCAGTGATCATTAAATTCAGTGTACTATCACAAGCTAGATTAACTTCATCTAATTCCATTTATGAGCCAACCAGTCTTAGGGTTTAAAGTAAAATGGAAAGATCCTAGAAGCACGGCCTGCCTATGTATATCTTTAGTTCCTGTTTGATTATGTTCTCCTTTAAGTCCAGAGAATATATATATATATTTTTTTCAACATTTATTTATTTTTGAGAGAGAAAGAGGACATGTGCGCAGAGAAGGGCACAGAGAGAAGAGGATAGAGGATCCAAAGCAGGCTCCACATTGACAGCAGAGACTGACAGTTGGCTCGAACTCCCAAACCGTGAGATCATGACCTGAGCTGAAATCAGATGCTTAACCGACTGAGCCACTCAGGCACCCCCAGAGAATATATTTTTTGATGGACTTTCTCATTTGTAATGAGGCTCTGGGCGTTTCTCATGGATCATGGACATTCATGAGTTTTAGGCAGAAGATCTCAGCATGCACTAAGTGAATTGGTCATTTTTTGGGCAAATGAGTGTATCCAAACCAGGGAAATATGAATACTAATAGATCTTGGTTCATTTTAAGGACCAATGAAGAACAAAGCAGTCTCTGTTGTGATTTAAAAAAAAAATTTTTTTTTAATGTTTGTTTATTTTTGAAAGAGAGAACAAGCAGGAGAGGGGCAGAGAGAGGGAGACACAGGATCTGAAGCAGGCTCCATACTACGAGCTATCAGCACAGAGTCCGATGCAGAGATTAAACCCACAAACTGTGAGATCATGACCTGAGCCAGTCAGAGGCTTAACCAACTGAGCCACCCAGGTGCTCCTGTTGTGATCTTTTTGTATATTTCTCATTTACTAAGCACAGTTAATTTAAAAGTGGTTTTGGCTCTTGTGGAAGCCATTTCTACTTGCATTAAAATATTACAGAACTGTCAGGCATTCTGTTTATATTTCTGTTTCCTGTGATGCCACATTTAAATAGAGATTGGTAGGGAGGTAGGTGAGAGGCTATTTAATGTTAACTCTTCTTACTTTATCAAGAAACTGAAAGTTGAATCAACTTCTCAGATTTCTTTTTGAAACTATCACAAAGGCTTCTCAAGCTCTAGGGTTCTTTCTACCCTAGGAAATATTTTACTGGACTGGACATCACTCAAGTGGTCACCTTTGAGGAAATGCAGTCATAGTCTTCATGTGCATTATCAAGGACCTACTGTACTCTTCCTTGGAAAGAGACTTGGGGGCAGATCTTTGAGCCGGCAGTGTCACTAACTAGTTTTACCTCCCCTCCTTTCTTCATTGTATGAGGAATTCAGGCTGATATATATCACCTATAGTATTGTGGACTTGCTTTTTAAGCAAAGGAATGGTGATATTAGTGAGAAATTTGGATAGTTTAGTTTGAGATGGAAGTATATAAGACCAAACTGAATAAGACTTCTTAAGACTGCCTGCTCCAGGGGTGCCTGGGTGGCTCAGTTGGGTGAGCATCCAACTTCGGCTCAAGGCATGATCTCATGGTTTGTGAGTTTGAGCCCCGTGTCGGGCTCTGTGTTGACAGCTCAGAGCCTGGAGCCTGCTTCAGAGTTTGTGTTTCCATCTCTCTCTCTCTCTCTCTCTCTCTCTCTCTCTCTCTCTGCCCCTCCCCCCCCATGTTCTCTCTCTCTCTCTCTCTCTCTCTCTCAAAAATAAACATTAAAAAAAAAATTGAAAGACTGCCTGCTCCAAAGAGAACAGGTGGTGTTGTGTAAGGGGACTCTTGTTTTCTTATGCATTTGTACTTCAGGAGGAAGTGATGGGAATACTTTGGTAATATTTGTGCTTCGTCACAGACAGTCACAACTTTGAGTGATAATCACAGGAAGAAAGCTCATTGGTCAGGATCATACACATCCCTGGAGACTGTTTCATAGTGATTAGAGATTTTGCCTTTAATTGGGGGAGGAATCATAGTTGGAGAGTTATGGGAGAGGAGTCTTGAATGAGTAAATTATTTTATTTTTGCATTTAACTCATACTTCCTAAATCACAGAAGCATGGTAAAGATTCTTTTTGAGCTTTAAGGGAAGGCTTTGGCCCACACATTCTCAGTGATTAACTCTTGATTCCATGTGTAGATGATCTGTTTTGTGCACATTTAAAATTCAGAATGATTTTTGCAAAACCAGTAAATGTGATTTGGGGCCTTTTTTTCCATCTCTGCCTAATTTGATATGTTCTGAGAATACAGGGTAACTTGGATTATTAGATGTTTTTGGATTACACATTCCTTCACTGTATGAGGGTACATATTCAAGACTTTCCTTTATGTGGGTGCATACTCAGAAACTTCACATATATGCATTAATTTCTTCATCAAATACTTACTGACTCCCTGCTATGTTCCACACCCTGTTCTAAAAGTTTGACAGGCATCTATGAACAATAAACAAAAATCTCTAACCGTTTCTTCATGAGGATTATTAACTCTTTGTTATTACAAGATGGTCCTTAGAATACGTTTATTCCACTTTTTGTTAACCCGATTTTAAGGAAGAGCAAAACTAAGGATACCTGACTTCAGGAAAGGAGTTTTTGCCACAGAAACCTTTTGCTAACAAAATGCCACTGTTACATCATTTTTAGACATTCCTTTAGAAGTTTGGACCACACACAAATATCAGTCACAATGCTTTATAATCCACCTTCGCTTTGTACATCCATCTCTCTCCAAATTTGCTTGCTTATTCATTCACTAGATTTACCATTGGCTTTGAATGACTTTTAACTTTCTAAAAATAAAGATCCACCCTTAAAAGCTGAAAATTGTCTTTGAAGATATTTCAAACACTGTGTTGGAGGTAATTTTAATAGCAAAAATTAGATTATGGGCCACTTGAAAAGAGTAGCACTCTGTTGTCCACATCATTTCTGGCATGCTTATTGAAAGTAAGCCTTACTTGACAGTGACCTTGAACATGTTCTCTGTTAAGTGCATAGCAGAATATACCTCACCAGTATCAGCCTGAGCTTGACTTTAGATGATTCTGTGATTTAATTGGTAGTAAGTAGGCTTTTTTTGTTTTTTGTTTTTGTTTTGTTTTTTTTTTTTTTTTTTTTTTTTTTTTTTTTTTTTTTTTTTTTTTTTGTTCTTCCCCCTCACCAGGTATACAATGTTTATATGGCAGGGAGGCAGCTGTGTTCTAAGCGGTACCGGGAGTTTGCTATCCTACACCAGAACCTGAAGAGAGAGTTTGCCAACTTTACATTTCCCCGACTTCCAGGGAAGTGGCCATTCTCTTTATCAGAACAGCAATTAGATGCCCGACGTCGGGGGTTGGAAGAATATCTAGAAAAAGGTAAGTTGGCCTATTAAATGCTACTACCTTAAGTAGACTTGGATTCTAGGTATGTGTTGCAACTCCTAAACCGCATGGCTAAGTTTCCTGAAACTGAATAGTGAAAGTAAATCAAATTTATGACCATTGGTGTTGAATGATGTGAGCTTTGAAGCCAAAACGGAAATGTCCAATACAAGGATTAATAGCCTATGTTATTGACTTGCTGAGCACTTAAAAACAGAAAAATGCATAATTAGTTTTTGATGAATTAGGGACCTTTATTGGGTTATGTTATTTGCCAGCAAACACGTACAGACCTACTCATCAACATGGTGAATTGATTTGGCAACTAAGTGGGCTGTATTTAAAACATTTTTTTTTGAAATGACTCTTAGTTCACTGGCATATCCTACTTGAAAAGTCCATTTTCCTCTTACAGTTGTCCATGGATAGGTTTGCCGAGTTGTAGATATCTAAAGTCCCCTTGATCTAAGCAGGTTATAGGTGGAAGTATTGAAACTTTACTTGTTATCTCAGGACTTCCAAATAGTACATCAGGAGTTTGTGGATGTGGATGCTGAAACATTTGGTTATCGGAAAGTCAAGGAGAAATGACCCAGATCTCTGGAATAAGATAGTTCATTTTGTGGCTCAGAGAAGAGACCTTGCTTCGCTACATTATAGAGTTATATAATTTGCCAGTTGTGCAACAGGCTTCTCTTTAAAATACTAATTTAATAGAAAAATAGTCTTATGTGATATTTATTAATTCTGTGTCCTTGTGTAAGAACTAATTGACCTAGTTGAATTTTTTAAAATTTTAGTGGAGAACCTTATCCCTGAAGAAAAACTGTTTCCCCTGTAGAAGGTAGTGAGACTTCCTCATCTGTTTTTAGCTTTTTTCTAACATGGAATGGCCTCTAAACACAGCCCTTGGGAAATAAAAAGGGTATAAATTTTTTTAATAAAATGAAGTGAAGTCATCAGTATAACTCATTATCCTCATGAGAGTGTCAGGAAATTAACTTTCTTAGATTTAGACAATTAGCTACTTTCCTTCCTTCCTTCCTTCCTTCCTTCCTTCCTTCCTTCCTTCCTTTTAAAGGTTGTTGTTTTGAAGCTTAAGTCAGCGAGGTGAGAAGATGCGCTGAGCTTAATACTTAATTACCTACCCATTTTTCCCAAAGTGTTTTTAACTGCTTATGGTTCTCTGACTGGCCTCGTTCCTAGGTAGACCAAGTATACATTTTTCCTTCTGTATTTCAGTTTTGTGTTTGCTTTATTCCTGATTGACCTTACCCTAGCTCTGTTGTCTGGCTTGGTCTTCGTTCACATGAGACTGCAAAGTTAGATTTACTGAAGTGTTATTTTGAATGACTTCCTTTGGCTATGTATAATGTTTTTAGCAAGGTACATCTTTGAACATCCTAATTTTCCTCTGTTGTGGTTCATATTTATATGAATGTTTGTTGTGCCTTAATGTGTTATACATCAGGAATGACCACCTCAGCATTGCCTGCTACTGATGATTTATACTTAAACCTTGATACATTGTTGACTTTAAAGTCTCCATTTTTGGGTCTCACACCAGATTCAATTTTTGTTTTCTACAGTATGCTCAATACGTGTCATTGGTGAGAGTGACATCATGCAGGAATTCCTATCAGAATCAGATGAGGTAGGTAAATACTCCCCACAGTGACTGTTCACCCCTGAGCTCCTTGCGGGCGGGGGATAAAGATGTCAATTATAGGTTGAATTGCTGTAAATTCCCCCAATGACTGTTTTTTTTCAAGTTGCCTTTCTTATGTATCCTGCTTATCTTTTAAGACCTAGCGCTAGGTTCACTTTCTCTTTGCATAGCCTTCCCTGATACTCAAGTCCTTGGTTTTTCTTTATCTTTATCTTTTTTTTTTTTTTTTTGGAGAGCGTGCATGATTGGGGAGGGGCAGAGGGAGAGAGGGAGACAGTGAATCCAAAGTGGGCTCTGCACTGTCAGCACAGAGCCTGATGCAGGACTCAAACTCATAAACCATGAGATCATGACCTGAGCTGAAGTTGGACGCTCAACTGACTGAGCCACTCAGGTGCCCCTCAAGTCTTTGGTTTAGGAACCTTTGCAGTCAGACCACTCAATCATCACCTTGTTGCTATCCTATTCTCCCATTTTGTGTACATATAATCAAATTATTACTTTATATTTTTAGTTCACTACAGTGTGAACTACCAGTAGGTAAGAGCTAAGTCTTTTTTTCTAGCCTTATTGAGTTAGAATTGACAAATAAGAATCATCTATATTTGAGGTGTACAACTTGATGATTTGATGTACGTATACATTGTGAAAGATCACAACAGTCAAGCTAACGAACCTATCCATTACCTCATAGTTACCATTTTCTTTCTTTCTTCCTTCCTTCCTTCCTTCCTTCCTTCCTTCCTTCCTTCCTTCCTTCCTTCCTTCCTTTCTCTCTCTCTCTCTCTCTCTCTCTCTCTCTCTCTCTGTCCTTTGTGTGGTGAGAGCACTTAAAATCTACCCTCCTGGCAAATTTCAAGTATACATTATAGTACTGTTAACTCTGGTCACCATGGTATTATACATTAGAGCTCTGGACCAAGAGCTAAATCTTGGCCATCTTTGTATTCCCAGTGCCTTACAATAATGTCAAGCATATTAGAGGTGCTTAATAAATACTAATTGAATAGAAGAATGAAGATGTAATGCTGCTATATTAAATAGTGCGTTATCTACTAGTTATTTTATATGTGTATGTCTTATTTTCTCAACTAGGTTATTAATTTCTTGCAGACAAGTGCTTGTAATTAATGCTTAGGATGGTTTTAGACAATAGATAGCACCATTTTTCAAGTGATAAACGAAGATGGACTTGCTCCTCAATAGTTTCTCTCTAATCAAACTTACAAGCTAGAGGAATGTATTGATCATCAAAAGCAATAAGAAAGAAGTATCTTCTGAATTAAGGGATAAGAATTGTTTACTCTTTCGAAGAAAATTAGGCATCACGTTAACTCAGATTCCTGCCTTTCATCCATTTTTCCTGTGAGAGGTGTCATGATTCCTTCTAAGTTCAGGGAGGAACTTATACTACTTGAGCCAATCTAGCATGCCTAACCATTTAAAACCAGAAAATTTTTGTCAAAACTACTGCTTCCATTTGTTTTCTTTTCTCAATGGTGAGTTCTCAATGTTTGGAAGTAGGCCAAAAATGTCATCTGTATTTGACCTAGACTGCCTCACACAAGTGTTCCATTTTGAAATGTGGACACATTGGCTTTAACATGTTTCTTTCCTCCCTGTTCATCTTAAAGGTTAACTTTTGCTGCAGCCTGAAGTCAGGTTTCTGACTTGTAAAATGTATTGACTTTAAGGTGTCTTTTTCCCCTTTTCGTTGGAACTTAACTTTCTATCACACGTTTAGATTGTTGCTTAGTCAGCATGTTATAAGGAGAGTGAGGATATGCTGAGTTACAAATTATGTCTCTGTGTCTTTTCCCACAGAACTACAATGGTGTGTCCGACGTAGAACTGAGAGTAGCATTACCAGATGGAACAACAGTTACAGTCAGGGTTAAAAAGAACAGTACCACAGACCAAGTGTATCAGGTAAATTAAACTTGAACAAGTAGACTCAACATTGGATGGTATGAAGCTAAGGAGGATGGATGAAATTAGTTAATGAAATGAGTTAATAAAGTGCTTGGGCTATCTGGCACATAATAAATTTATTAAATGTGAGCTACTACTATTGATATTGTTATTAATGTGAAAGTACTTTGCCCTCCTTTAAAGAAAAGTACAGTATGTATCCTGGGTCGTAGTGGTTGTAATTAGCACCCCCCCCTTTCTTTTCTTTTTCTTTTTTTTTTTTTAAGTTTATTTATTTATTTTGAGAGATAGTGCCAGTGGGGGAAGGGCAGAGAGAGAATCTCTAGAACTCGGCACTCTCAACACAGAGCCTGACACAGGGCTCAAACTCATGAACTGTGAGATCATCATGACCTGAGCCTAAGTCAAGAGTTAGATGCTTAACTAGCTGAGACACTCAGGTGCCCCAGCCCTGCTTCTTTTTAATTGTAGAAAACTTTAATATAAACAGAACAGTACAGTGGACCTCCATTTACGCATCATTCATATTTAATAACCATCAAGATTTTGCCACATTTGCATTATACGTGTATCTTTTTTTTCTTTTCCTTTGTTTAAATGTTTTATTTTTTTTAAATGTTTATTTAGAGAGAGCTAGCATGCACAAGTGGGGGAGGGGCAAAGAGAGAGGGGTAGAGAGAGAATCCAAGCAGGCTCTGCACTGTCAGCACGGAGCCCAGTGCAGGGCTTGAACCCACAAACCCACGATCATGACCTGAGCTGAAATCAAGAGTCAGGATGCTTACCTGACTGAGCGACCCAGGTGCCCCTGTTTAAATATGTTAAAGCAAATTCCATTTTATTGGGCCTATATAGATTTCAGTATAAATTTCTAAAAAATAAAGGCATTCTTTTTACATAAACACAAAAGCCATTATCAGACCTAAAAAGTTAACAGTATTTCCTTGGCATTAACTAATAACAAATCCATAGTCCAATATTTCCAGCTGTCTAAAAATGAGTTTTTATTGTTTGTTAAAATCTGGATCTAAACAAGGTTTGTTTTTTATCTTTGTTTTTAATGTTTATTTTTGAGAGAGAGAGAGAACACGAGCAGGGGAGGGACAGAGAGAGAGGGAGACAGAAGATCTGGAGCAGGCTCCAGGCTCCGTGCTGACAGCAGAGAGCCCAGTGTGGGGCTCGAAGCCACGAGCCATGAGATCATGCATGACCTGAGTCGAAGTTGGATGTTTAGCTGACTAAGCCGCCCAGTCGCCCCAGTTGTTATGTTTGTTTGAATATAAGCAGCTTCCCTTCCCTTCCCCACCTTTTTATTTAGATGTTATTAGTTTGTTGCAGAAATTGGGTCTGTGTTGTGCAGTGTCCCACATTCTGAATTTATCTATTTATTTTTATGTGTGTCATTTAATATGTCCATCTCCTTACATTCTGCATGAATGGAAGTTTTGTCTAGAGAGCTCGAGTAGGTTCAGCTTTTTTATAAGAATACTTCCTAACTGGTGAGATACATCTTTCCTATTGCTTTCAGGAGGTACACAGTATCTGTCTGGTTGTCCCATTTTTAGTGATACTGAGATTAATTGGTGCATTTATTTAGATGGTGATAACCTGGGCTCTCTATTGTAAAATTCCCCATTGGCCTGTAATCAGATGAGTGTATACACTGATGATTGTTGCCTTAACCAGTAATTTCATTAATTCTGTCATTTTTTCATATTTGTTAGGTAGAATTTTTCTATACAGAACTTTTCCTTACCAACTAAGGCTATGTATGTAGTTATCCTAAAATATAGTTTGTAGGAAAGAGAGGATAAATATTTAATTTTTTTAATTGCCAGTTTTCAGAGTATAATGTTGGCATTGGAGTGTGATATTGGTGATTCCAATGATATCCAATGAGATATTTTTATTTTACTTTTATTTTATGTTATTTTTATTTTATTTTAGTATTTGTGGGTTTTAGACATTCAGTATTATGTAATCAATCATGTGTATCATCTCTGATGCTCAGATTGTTTCATCTCTGGCCAGTGGAAGCTCCTTCATATCTGCTCCTGTATTCTTCTGATGCAACTTACTTGTTTATGATAGCATCCTTGCTTTTTGGTACAACAAGGTGTTCTGGCCTCATCTTTGTGTATTTCCTATCCTAGATCTATAATCAGCCACTTCCCTCAAGGAGTCCTGGTTTCTTTCAGTGAGAAATTACATTTAAAGATCATGATCTGGGTGCTAGATATAATCATTGCTTTTAGGCCTAGGCCTTTTTGTCTTTAATCCTGATGTGATCAAGATTTTCAGGGAGACTAACAGGTTTCTGGATATTAATGTTTATTGTTCCTTTGTAGCAAACAAAAATGTGTTCCCCATACATTTACTCATGTATTGTATACCATGGCAAAGGGTATGTGCAGAATTCAAGGTATTTCTGAAATTATAAAAGGGTGAAATGATTGCAAGGAAAATGTTAATTTTACAAGTTGCTGATGTTTTTGTTTTGTATTCTTTGTTTCTCCCTCTTGCCCCCAAATTGTCTCTAGCAAGGCCTTTTGGTGAGGAGCAGCACTTTTCTCCTCATCCGCTTACTGAGACTTGTAGCTATAAACCATTTTCCAACCCCGGAGAGCATTTCAGTTTCCATTCACTGCAGTAAAGAATGGTAACTTAGAACGTTGATAGTGTCATCAGGGATGAGAATGAGAATGGTATAATTATACTTGGTCTACTGAGCCACTGACATTCCACAATTGTATTTTGTTCAATTAATACCTTATTTATATTGGGATTGATCTTGAAAAGAAATTGTGGTACTATTTTGTGTTTTTTGAGTTTTGTTGATATTTGTAATTTTAGTTTTATTTGTACATGGAGTCTTTCAATTGCTTTTTGTCATATTAGCTCCTAGAGAGGAGGACTGATACTTGTTTAATATGTCTCTGTTGTCACAACATTTTGCTGTTTTCATGTGGATATCAATGATAGTAATTCTTAGGAAATGGAGATCCTCAGCCTGAGGCATGGATCATCCAAAAAATAAATAAGAACAATTTGTGAAGCATGAACAAAATTGACAAACTCTTTTCGGCTCAAGAACCAAAGATAAAGATTTTGCATGTTAACAGCCTGTATGAAATGTAGGTTGAATGAAAATAAGTAAATAAACAAACAAACAAATAAATATAAATGTAGGTTATATGTATGAGACTGGATATTTAAGAATTTATTTTCTTCTTAAGGTCTGTTCTTGTGAAGCACATTACTTTTAAGTGCTGTTAAAAAAGACTTTTGTGGGATGAAATCATATTTCAGAGAAAGAAGATGATATTTAAGGATAGCTTATTAGCTTGAATTGGACATGGAAACTCATATTTAGAGATTATATCTATTTTGGTCAAATATAGGTATTTTCCCCCCCTTTTTTTTTTTTTAATTTTTTTTTTCAACGTTTATTTATTTTTGGGACAGAGAGAGACAGAGCATGAACGGGGGAGGGGCAGAGAGAGAGAGGGAGACACAGAATCGGAAACAGGCTCCAGGCTCTGAGCCATCAGCCCAGAGCCCGACGCGGGGCTCGAACTCACTGACCGAGGGATCGTGACCTGGCTGAAGTCGGATGCTTAACCGACTGCGCCACCCAGGCGCCCCGTATTTTCCCCCTTTTATGTCATACATATGTATGCATGAGCATGAGTGTGTGCACACATACATACAAAAAGAAAAGGTATAGACCATGAATTTAGTTCATGTGAAGCCGAGATGGCAAAACTCCTCCCTTCTCCCCCCTGCACATGCACATACCTGTCTTTTCCCATAGCTTGTCTGATTTAGTTACCCTGAAACCAATCTATCCTGTTTACCCTATAGGCTATTGCAGCAAAGGTTGGCATGGACAGTACAACGGTGAATTACTTTGCCTTATTTGAAGTGATCAATCATTCCTTTGGTAAGTGTCAGTCGGCTAATACTGAGTTTTGTTTGTGAGTATTTTATTCTAATACTATCAAACTGAAGCTCCCGGAAGCCGTCAGACTGAAACTATTTGCTTAGAGAAGAAGAGCTTGAAGGCAAGGGGAGATCACACTCATTAGGACTGTCTCCCACAAGCAGACCAGGCAAATCTTATTACGCCCAAGTCAGAAAGGTGTCTGATCACTGATGATCCTTTCTCCTCTTTTGTAAGTATAACTTACTTATACCTAGCACTGAAACAGATACTTCATGAACTTATTTTAAATCAGGGGTTCAAAAGTAATATATTCCAATGAAATAGCCAAAAAGAGGGGTGTTCTATCTAGCCACAACTTACTTTGGTGTATTTTATGCTTTTTGTAGATAGTTAAGAATAGCTTTTTATTTTCAGGAGTCAGAAAAAGATACATTACTTAAAAGTCTTTGCGTTGATGCATATAGTTAAGTTTCCATATAAATATACATTCTCTTTCTAGGAAATTTTATTGCATGTTGGCAGGAAGTTTCTCATATGTTATTTTATAAAAGCTAGAGATGGTGGCCACATTGGTTGCATTGAGATCACAAAAGGGAGGAAGTCTGAGTGCTTGCTATGAATGACATAGATTTCCTATAGTTTATGGGTCTTTTCCACATCACATATACATGGGGCTGAGGCCAGAAATGATAGATAATATTGATTGATCAGACCTTGCCATCCCTGGTCAAGATAAAACAAGGTTGATTCTCTGTGAAGCAGCCATCTTTTTATTGTTTTTCATCTTCCCAACTCCCTATGGTCTAACTAGGCAGATATAAATGTTACAAAGGATTGCTAGGGAACCGGGCACTTGGATTCTAATCTTATCCTTTTTTTCTAAGCTTTAGTTAAGAAATAAAATGGGAAATATTAAATCTGTTTTTTGCAGTGTTACAAAGTCAAGTAAGCATCAAAAGAAGAAAAAACTCTGAGCCTTTCTTAAGAAAAGCAATATAGAAATTAAATGTGATAGTGTTTTATCCTGCCTGTGCATTGTTAGGAAGAGGAAGAAACGTTACTCAGAAGACATTTTTCACTTTGGTGAATGTCTTAGAGTTGGGGATGGGGATTGGGGAGAGCCTTTCAGCTCTTAACAAACAAGGGAATTGCCACATGAGAGACTCTGATTGCTCCATAGCTAGGTAAGAGGAGAGGCTTGCTTTAAAGATGTTCAGTGGACATCACTGTAACTTACCAGATAATAGATATTTTAATTGACTTTGGAATAGATGCTGTCTGCCCAGTCTGCATGTTAACTGAAGGATGTGTCATACAGGTGATAGATTTCAGTCAGTTTAAGACTCAACTGGCCATAGTCATAGTTAGAAGGGATACATTTAGGTAGAGAAATGGTTATTTTGTGGTCCCATAGCAGGCTGCTTGATGGATCTAACCTGATGTTCTGGTTAAGGATAGCCTGCCATTCTTAGTCTGCTTTACACAGTTTATGCTAGGGAAATTCTTTATATATCTTTAATCTTCTAGCTTTCTTCCTTTTTTTTTTTTTGGTCTTTTCTTCAGTACGTAAGCTGGCACCTAATGAATTTCCTCATAAACTCTACGTCCAGAATTACACATCAGCTGTGCCAGGCACCTGCCTGACCATTCGAAAGTGGCTTTTTACGACAGAAGAAGAAATCCTCTTAAATGACAATGACCTTGCTGTTACCTACTTTTTTCATCAGGTGGGTGAATTGATCTTCCTGGAAAGGCCTGATTGCTTTTTATGCTTGTATGTAGTGAGTTATTTGCCAATTCAATGTGAATCCTTGGACAAGCTGCTTTGCCTCCTGGATCTTAGTTAAGTTACATTTTTAAAATGTTCTATCCCGGGGTGCCTGGTTGGCTCAGTCTATAGTATAGCATGTGACTCTTGATCTTGGGATTGTGAGTTCAAGCCCCACATTGTGTGTAGAGATTACTTAAAAAATAAAATCTTTAAAAAATAAAAAAGAATCAAATAAAATATTCTAACCCATTTAACAAAAGATAAATAAATTTAAGAAGTAAAGATGTGCTGGAGTTAAGAATAAATTTATTACTGGGGCGCCTGAGTGGTTCAGTCGGTTGGGCCTCCAACTTCGACTCAGGTCATGATCTCAGTGTTCGTGAGTTTTAGCCCCACGTTGGGCTCTGTGCTGGCAGCTCAGAGCCTGGAGCCTGCTTCACATTCTCTCTCTCTCTCTCTCTCTCTCTCTCTCTCTCTGTCTCTCTCTCTCTCTCTCTGTCTCTCTCTGTCTCTGTCTCTCTGTCTCTCTCTGTCTCTGTCTCTGTCTCTCTCTCTCTCTCTCTCTGCCCCTCCCCCCCAAAATAAAGTAAAACATAAAAAAAATTTTTTTTAAAAGAATAAATTTATTACTGTTTTTTTAAACAACAGGAAATTAGCATATGGCTATATACCTTTCAAAAAACTTTTCATCAAGGGGCCCCTGGGTGGTTCAGTCGGCATCTGACTTCGGCTCAGATCATGATCTCTCATGGTTTGTGAGTTTGAGCCACATGTCGGGCTCTGTGCTGACAGCTCAGAGCCTGCAGCCTGCTTCGGATTCTGTGTCTCCCTCTGTCTCTGCCCCTCCCCCACTCATGCTCTTTCTCTGACTCAAAAAATAAACGTTAAAAAAAACACCGTTTTTAAAAAGTAACCAGGTTTGTTAAAAAAAATTTTTTTTCATCAAAATTATACATACATAAAGTTTAAAGCATCAAATAGTTCTACATAGGTTATTGTGAAAAATACTAGTTACCCTGTTTGTCTTCATCTCCCCCTCCCTTAGGCAACATTTTCACCTCCTTTAGCTTTTGTTTGTTATTGTTGGTTTTGTTTTATATTTACTTCCATTTCTCTGTTATAACTTGATTATATTGCTCCTACTTGATTTTTTAATCAAGCAGTATCTCTTGATTTCCTAGTATAGAAGATGAGACTCTAGATACGTTTCCTCCCCATTCCCGCTACATACCATACCCATACCCATACTCAAGCATAGGTGACAGAGGTAGAAGTTGAACTAGTCTTTTGACTTTAACTTTAAACTCACTGTGTTATTTTATTTTTGTTTTTTATTTTTTATTTGAGAGAGAGAGTGGGAACAGGGGAGAGGGGCGGGGTGCGGGGGGAGAGGGAGAGAACCCCAAGCAGGCTCCATGCTCAGCACAGAGCCTGACACGGAGCATGATCCCACAACCCCCAGGATCATGACCTTAGCCAAATAGAGTCAGACGCTCAATTGACTGAGCCACCAGGCACCCTGAACTCACTGTGTTATGCAAATAGTTTCCCTTAAATATAGGGATAGATTTCTACCTTAAGGAAATTAGCAGCCTTCTGGTAAAGATTCAAGCGGGTCCCTGCCTGGTGCCTGCAAAAGTTGTCCTTATAGTAAAACACTGAGGTTAGATTCCAAGTGCCCTGGACAAATGATTGTGTTTGTTCTTTTCCTTCCTTTTTTTTTTTTCTTCCAAAGATGAGTTTTCCCTTCTATTGGATTTTAAAAGCTTTTCTTGGGGTAGAGTGAAGTTGGGAAGGGGATGCACGTTTCGTATAGCTGAGCCAGGAGTAGTTTAGAATTAGCGTATTATATCTACGTACCTTCGTGCCTGTATCAAGTCCTGTTGGGGACTTTTGTCCGCGTGGGGTCTCAGATTTATTACTTCCTCTCTTCCAGTTGCTACCACCCTAGTTTACAGTCTTGTTTCACTTCATGCTTAAAGCACTATAACGTTGTCATTCTCCCTTATTTCATTCTCTCCTTAGCTTGATTCATTTGGCACTCATACACAAATCAATCTTTCTTTTAAAAATAACACACATTTTTATTGCTTATTTTAGCTCCAGTAGTCTTAGTGCTGCTGTCCTTAAGTTTAAATTCTTGTCCCTGTTCTCTGGGATCCTTCATAATCTGTTAACCTACCCATCCAGCATTATCTTTTGTTGTCCCCTGACACATACCCTTTATTTAAATCAGACAGATCTGTCTCCTGAATGTATTTAAGCTCAAACACATTCCTGACTTCTGTTTGTAGTTTATTCTGTCCGCCTAACCTTTGGAGTCCAATCAAGGCTTTCCTGATAACTACAATTAGCAAAAAGCTCTGCTATCCTGACTACATGTATCACTTACTATCATACATCTTTGCTACCTCATTGTTACCTTTAACAATTATGGACTATCTTTCAGTGTTCTCTCATCTTTACACTGTATAAATTAAGTGGAATTTAAATCTCTTAACATGAGAAACAAGATCCCTCCTGTGCCTAGAACGGTTCTTGAGCACATACTGGGCACTCTTTAAGTGCTGCTTATTCTAATAAATATATCCACGTGGCAGAGTTCACCGGTGGTGATTATGATGGTCCAAATGGGTAAAAGTTATTCTGAAATGAATCTGTACTCTTTTGTCAAGAATGTGCTTGATAATGACTTTGATGTTCCTTTCTTCCCTGCCTTTGTTTTGGTGACAGGCCGTTGATGATGTGAAAAAAGGTTATATCAAAGCAGAGGAAAAGTCCTACCAGTTACAGAAGCTGTATGAACAAAGGAAAATGGTCATGGTAGGTTTATGTCCCCATAATCTCCTTATATCTCTTAAACCTGTTGTTCCAGTTATTTCTGAGAGATAATACAACTGGTCAGTGGCTTAATTGATTTAAAAAAAAAAAAAGGAGGGGATATAGATGTAACATACCCATTATGTTCCTCCATTAGCACATGAGAAGATATGTTGCTATATATGTGTATATAGCTTTATTATTAGTAATAACTGTATTATTTTTTGATAGAAAGTTCTAAAACAAAAGATGTACAAAACATTTCATAGATATCAATTCTCTAAGAGTTGATATTTAGATTTTTAACATTAGAAATTGTTTTATTTGTGATTTAGCAATTGCAAAATTGTCTTTACAACTTCCTTCTCTACAGTTGCTTAAAATGCTCAGTAGTGTCTTTGGTCAGTGTGATATGTGTGCTGTTTGATTTGAAAGATGCTACTAGCATCATGTGGCTATTTAAGTTTAATTTTAAACTCATTTAAATTAAATAAAATTTAAAATCCAGTTCCTCAGATGTGCCAGCCTCATTTCAAGTGTTGAGTAAGTACCTACCATATCGGGACAGCTCAGATACAGAACATTTTCATCATCACAGAGTGCTGAGGGGGTGCTGCCTATAGTAGTACCTAAATGTTTTGTTTTTGTTTTTGTTTTCCCCCCAGTAAATGTTTTAAAATTAGTTTTCAGGAGCACCTGAGTGGCTTAGTTGGTTAAGTATCCACCTCTTGATTTCGGCTTAGGTCATGATCTCACCATTCATGAGTTTGAGCCCCATGTGGGGCTCCACACTGGCAGTGCAGAGCCTGCTTGGGGTTCTCTCTCCCCCTCTCTCTCTGGCCCTCCCTCACTCATGTGTGCTCTCTCCCTCTCTTAAAATAAATAAATAAACTTAAAAAATAAAATAAAATAATTTTTCAATTTGCACCTGCCATAAATACAGGGATGGAAATTGTCAAAAAAAATTTTGTAAGGGACGCTCTGCTTACAAAAACTTTCACTCATAGCATTTTAAATTTTCTTTCTTTGCAAATTCACATATAGTTGAACTTTTCCAATTATAATTTTTCATGGTTTCTCACAAGACAATTACTGTATTTGTGATGATTCTGATAGGTCACTTGAATTTCTTTTGTACCCTCTCTGTGTGCATTTTTTATGAGGGAACATTCTCTGTCTAAATTAATTGCGTTGGAATAAGAATGCAAACAAGTCAGCCATTGAACTCAGCCCCTAATCTTATGTCTAGATAGTTATTTTATCACTTATATGACAAAAAGTAATAAATCTGTTTGCCTTAGGAAACTGCCAGAGATGAGGGAACCATTTATCAGTGTTCTGCATCCCAGCAGGCTAGAATAGACACAAAAATCTTTTAAATAGAATTAGGTCTTGGCAGAATTTTGGTAAAGGCAATTTTACTATGTGAGAAACAGGCTTTTAAAACTCGATTTCCACCTGTTCTTAAAGATCATAGCATTGTCTTCTGTATATTAATGCATGATTCTGATCAGCACTTCTGCATCTTTTTAACGAAAAGGACCAAATACCGAAGGATCATCAACCTCTAAAATATTTCTTTGCCTTTGCCAAAGGCGGCAAATCAAAGTAATTTCATAAGGGCTACTGATAATGACAGTGTGGGATATATATTGTTTCTTTTATCAGTATGGGATATATATTGTTTCTTTGTACATATAGTACTTCAAACACAATAACTTCCATATATGTATCCAACTAAAAATATTTGTTGAGTACTGAGTGTGTGCCAGGCACAGTACAAAGTGCTAAAAAAATATATAAGTAGATTTGGGTTGTTCTGTGGCAATATATAGAAAATCTGAATTTAACAAGCATGGTAATCTATTACAAAATTACTTTTAGACTCAAGTTTGTATCTTGTTATCACTCAATTAAGAACTGAGTACAGTTGATGTTTTCCTTTTGGGTCATTGGAATGAGTATAAGATATGCTTAAACATTAATGGAATTCTATTATCTTAAAAACCTAGTGCCAACAAACAAGTGTGTACTAGCCCCATCATACTGCAATCAGATTTTATATAAAGTCCCACCAGAGTTTGAAAAGTTTAAATTGTATTCAGTGTATTCAAGTATTAGTGTTCAAAGACATTAGCCTAGCCAGCGGTCATGTTCAGTACATTGAAACTTCCAACTCAGATGGACCCTTCCAAGCCCATACACCTTGACTCCATTATCTGTAGCAACTTAATATGGTTGATAGACCTAAGATTAGGCCAAATCACTGTTAGTTGCCAAATTACTGGGAGGCCTCCAACAATTCAACAGACTTCTCAGTTTTAGTTTCTTTTCTTTAAAATGAGGATGTTCAGATTGCCAGCTGTCAAGTAGAATCTTGACAAAAACTCCCAGAATTCTTAAAACATTCCCAGTGTGATAAAAAAATGGTTTTGTTTTTACTTATTTACAAAGGTAGATTGAATCTCAAATTTGGATGGTTGAGAATATAATATACAAGAGAGATTTTGTTTCTTTTTCTTTTTTTCTTTTTTTTGACTCTCACACAAACAATAGATGTGTATAACTTACGTTTTTCTTGTATTTAAGTGGCCTGATATTTACCATTGTTAAACTGACAAAAAAATTTCTGTTAGTGTTTCTCAATATAATTTTTTTATTTAAAAAAATATATATTTTTAAGAGAGAGAGAGACAGAGACAGAGCATGAGCAGGGGAGGGGCAGAGAGAGAGAGGGAGACACAGAATCCAAAGCAGGCTCCAGGCTCTGAGCTGTTGGCACAGAGCCCAATTTGGGACTCGAACTCATGGACCATGAGATCATGACTTGAGTGAAGTCAGACGCTTAACTGACTGAGCCACCCAGGCGCCCCTCTCAATATGACTTTTAATTAAGATTTCACACAAGGCAATATATGTGAAAGTCCGTGTTTTTCAAAGTGTGGTCCTCACCTCAATTACATGGGAGTCACTTGTGAAACCTACTTAAGATGCAGCTTTCTGGACCCCCACCTCACATTTACTAAGCCAAAATCTTGGGTAGGACCTAGGAATCTTTGTAAAGATTTTTACAGAAGCACCCTGGTGATTTTAAAACTTAAGTTGCTTCAGAATCGCTATTCTAGGGGCTTGGGAGAGTTGGCTCCTGAGGTTCCCTTCAAGCCCTTATTTCAATTTTAGACCTGGTTTGATTCTTAATAGGTTGCTTGGGAGAACAGAGAGTTCTCTAGAATGGATCTCAACCCACTCAACCTAAAGTATTTATTCTGTTAAGTACTGAGTCTCTGCTTTAATAATTGTCCTGTTTCTATATTTACTTATCTTGCTGAACACTGAACATTTATAAGATGTCCTGTGCTATACTTTTCCTCATCTCTGGCCTAATGTGGGTCCTCATCTAAATGATCCGTGGATCAAGGAAGAGAGTATAGGATACATATTTAGCCAGTCAAAACTTAATAAGAAAGGAGAATGGACAGGACAATTTTGTGTTTTAAATATATAACTTTAATAAATGTGGTTGAAAACAAAAATTCACTCTTCTTTTAGAAACTTTGGATGGGGGCGCCTGGGTGGCTCAGTTGGTTAAGCCTCCGACTTCAGCTCAGGTCATGATCTCGCAGTCTGTGAGTTCGAGCCCCGCGTCGGGCTCTGTGCTGACAGCTCAGAGCCTGGAGCCTGTTTCGGATTCTGTGTCTCCCTGTCTCTCTGCCCCTCCCCCATTCATGCTCTGTCTCTCTCTGTCTCAAAAATAAATAAACGTTAAAAAAAAAATTAAAAAAAAAAAAGAAACTTTGGATGTATGTAGAGGGCGCCTGGGTAGCTCTTAAGCATCCAACTCTTGGTTTCGGGCTCAGGTCATGATCTCATGGTTTATGAGTTTGAGCCCCACGTCAGACTCTGTGCTGACAGTGTGGAGCCTGCTTAGGATTCTCCACTGTTCCCTCTCTCTCTCTGCCCCTCCCCTGCTCACACACTCTCTCAAAATAAATAAATAAACTAAAAAAAAAATAAATAAATAAACAACCTTTGGATGTGTATAAAAATTTAAATATTTCTTCTCTTTATACTTTGTGCAAATCTAGGAATGTAGAACTTTGTCTAAAACTGAGAAGTACTGCCTGACCTGAGAATCTTTGAAAAACCTTATATTTCCCACATGAGACTTTACCTCTGTCTTGTCACCAAATTCCACTCAGGTTATTTTTAGAACTTAATGCTATTAGGAAGTCCTCTGGGGGCGCCTGGGTGGCTCAGTTGGTTGAGCGTCTGACTTTGGCTCAGGTCATGATCTCGAGGTTTGTGAGTTCAAGCCCCGTGTCGGGCTCTGTGCTGACGGCTCCGAGCCTGGAGCCTGCTTCAGATTCTGCGTCTCTGTCTCTCTCTGCCCCTCCCCCACTTGTGCTCTGTCTCTGTCTATCAAAAATAAATAAAATGTAAAAAAAAAAAAAAAGGAAGTCCTCTGAAGGTCTTTTGCTTTCGAGGACTATTACATTCTTGAATATGGAGGGATAATCAGTGTTTTGATTCAAAGGTGAGAGAGAGGGGCACATACTTTGTGCCTGGTACTGTGCCAGACACAGTATGTGTATTCTCATTTCCTCCCGATAACAACCATGGAGGTGTTATCCCCACTTTACAGAGGAGAAGTGGATTCTGAGAGATCACGATTCTTACCTAAGATCATATTGCTTATCAGAAGTGGAACTAGAAGTTGAACCTGTTTCTGTCTTGCTTCAAAGAATGTGTTCCTTGCTGTCACAGGGAAAAGAAGCTGACAGCAGTGTCCTTTATTTCCAGATGGCAGGGGGAAGCCCCTAGGCAGAGTAACTTACAGAGTCACAGAGAGTTCAGGGTATGCTGAGCACCAGGCCTCACCTGGTGTCTTTTCCTAATCCCTTTCTTTGTCTGCATGTTTCTCTTTTTAATAAATAAAGTCAAGCTCCCCATTAGGAATAAGGTGGAAATACTTTTTTTAATATTTATTTTTGAGAGAGATATAGAGAGCATGAGTGGGGAGGGACAGGGAGAGAGGGAAGGAGACACAGAATCTGAAGCAGGTTCCAGGCTCTGAGTTGTCAGCCCAGAGCCTGAAGCAGGGCTCGAACTCACGAACTGTGAGATCATGACCTGAGCCAAAGTCAGACGCTTAACCAACTGAACCACCCACGTGCTCCAGAGATACTTTTAGAGCAGTAGTGATGCCTCTTAAAGAGGAGAACTCTCAGGAAATGTGTTATACATAAGGCTTTTTTGGTAAAGGACGTGAGCAGAACCAGTCTCAAGGCTGCGTGACACCTTCCAGCGTTTGCAGAGGTCCTAAGCACCCTTTTTTTTTTTTTAAAGCAATTTTGAAATCTGTTTTCTTTCTTTTCTTTTTAAATTCTATTTATTTATTTTGAGAGAGAGAAAGAGCCTTACTCAGGGCTCAGTATCACACACTGTGAGGTCATGACCTGAGCGGAAATCAAGAGGCAGACACTTAACCTACTGTGCCACGCAGGCGCCTCCCTGAGCCCCTTTGAGCAGTACCTGCTGCTTGTTGAGCACACAGAAATTTCCCCCTGACTGTGTTAGGGGGGCGCCTTGGATTGAGCATTGGCATGCAGGGACTCTTCTCTTTGCCTTTAATATTTTATTGTAGAGAATTTCAAGTATGTAAGGAAGTTGGAAGAATAGTCCCGTTTAGCCCCCCAAGTACCCATTAATCAGTTGCAGCAACCTTCTGCTCTCTACCACTCCTGTTTCATCCGTCTCACTCGCATGAGCTTTTCCCTGGAGAGAAAATAGTTGAGCCTTCTGGCTAGGGATAATGGAGCCTTTAAAATTATTTTTTTAAGCTATCCTTTATTGAATACCTAATTATGTACTAAGTACTGGGCTAAATACTTTAATGGTCACAAGTAATTGTGTGATGTAGGTGCTGTTATTCTTTTCTTTTTATAGAAGAGGAAACTAGAGCTCCTGGGAGTTAGTAATTTGGCTGGAGTGCAAGTGCCTCATCCAAGGTGACAGAGTCAGGAAGTGGTGGAGCCAGGATTCAAGCCCAGGGTGGTCTGGGCCCAGGCTCCTGACCACTCCTCGTACTGCTTCCTGTCTCAACCCCAGAAGAGTTCTATTCTGTGGCACTGCCTGTCCCTGGCCAGAGATATTTTTTGTTCATAGTGCCACTGGCAGGCCCAAGCAGTGGCTACTTTTCTCCCTGGTACAGGAAGGGTGATGAGATAGGGGGTGGAGGAGTGGGATAGAAGGAAGGAGAACTGAGAAAAGCAAGTCGGTTATTGTGGCACTTCTGAATTGATCCTGTCGCTGTGTTCTTGCTGTCCTTTTATAATGTTTCCCCTTCAAGGTTGCCATTATTTTACCTAAACAGAAATAAGTACAAGGTAGGAAAGGGAGTATGTGGTGTGATTTTTCCCTAGGTCCTTAAGTCCTCCCAGACCATCTCTGGGGCAGTAGTGACCGTCTTTAGTGCCATTCATTGGTACTAGAGCTGCCGGTTGCCCAGGGCCCTTTTTGTACCTAGGTCCCTTGGTCTCTTCTTTCTTGGGCAAAAGGTGACCCTCCAATGTGTTCCAGTCTCCCTGCCCATCTAGCTGAAATCAGCTAGGGTGCTGTGCCTCTGTCTTCTCTCCAACACTCCCCACATGTTCCTAGTGCGCCCTGTTGGCCTGTGTGCTGGGCAGCCGAGGGTACAGGGACTCAAGGTTCTTTACTTATTTCCTAGGCAGTCCCTGAGGAGAAACCGGCTCAGAGTCCATGTGTCTTTTTTTTTTTTTTTTTTATCATCTTTTCCTTATTTCTCTTCTACTCTCCTTCCCACTCATCTTTTACTCTCCCATCTCAACTCAAAATAGTGAGTTGAGTGAGAGGCCAGTCTTCACTGTAGAGGAGAAAGGACAGAGAGCTGAGTTAGAGTCCTCTCTGAATCAGTCTTGTAGCATTGTACCTTTGAGGGTCATATATGCCACTCGATTTTGGTCCACATGATTTTTAAGGAGGCATGTGTACTGGAGATCAGGGGATGGTGGTGCTGATTTGGGGCCTAGTTGGCGATAGAGAAAGGACCAGTGGCCATGAAATTAAACCTAGCTTCTAATCCTGGCTGTGCCACTTACTATTACCTGTGACCTTCAGCAAGTCTCCTGTGACTCTGGGTTTCTGTAAAATGACTGGCTTAAACATGTTATGAGTATGGGATTTGGGGGTAGCTTACTCCTCGTCACTGAGGTTCTTGTAACTTTTGATTTGTGAGGAGACATGAGCTCCCTTTACTCAGTCATGTAGATCGGTTTGATTCCCTTCCTGGATGCTAGTGAAAGGAGGGGCAGCCTAAACAGCCTTGTGAGTTCACCTTTCGACATACGGGTCTTGGTCACAGCACCTCTTCTGGCTTCGTTTGTGTACTTTTTGAGGCAGAGAAAGGAGGTGGGGCTGGAAGTGGAACAAAGAATAGGCTTGGAGTCCTGGCCCTTCTTAGAGCTGGTCATGCTGTGAAGACCAGAGTCTTCAGGTTGCTGGGTGAGAGGATTCTCTTTGTTCTTTCTCTGGTGACATCCCAGCAGCTCTTCGTGGTGGTTTAGTTCCATAGTAACCCTGTTACACACACACACACACACACGCACGCACGCACGCACGCACGCACAGACACACACACCTTTTTTTTTTTTTTTCCAGTATCTCAACATGCTGAGGACTTGTGAGGGCTACAATGAAATCATCTTCCCCCACTGCGCCTGTGACTCCAGGAGGAAGGGGCACGTTATCACAGCCATCAGCATCACGCACTTTAAACTGCATGCCTGCACTGAAGAAGGACAGCTGGAGGTGACAGTTCAGCATGGGGCCAGGGCTGGGAGCATTGGGGACACTGCCACTTACCCACTCTGGTTTCGTTCCTGTCAGGAGGGGAGATGAAATCCATACTATGGTGATGGGGAAGGTAAATCAGCACTGGGTCCACAAGGATCCTCACCTTCCTGGCTGCTCACATGGACTCATTCTTCCCTCAGTCTTATTGACATGATGCAGACACTCACTCCCTTGTCTTCTGCTGTCTGGCCCAGAACCATCTCAGCTCAGGTGCCCAGCATGCTCAGACTTAACACTCTGTTCTTGGTCATTTAGAACCAGGTAATAGCATTTGAATGGGACGAGATGCAGCGATGGGATACGGATGAAGAAGGAATGGCCTTCTGCTTCGAGTATGCACGAGGAGAGAAGAAGCCTCGATGGGTTAAAATCTTCACACCATATGTGAGTGGTAGACCGGAAGCACTCTTGGGAAAGTATATTGGGTTTGATGTTCTCCAGCTGAGCGCGTAAATGGGGAGGGCTGCAGCCATAGCAGTTGTCTTTGAGCCTTAGAGCCCCAGGTTCTTCCTGGCTGTCCTGAGGACAGACTGGGAGTGGCAGCTTCACTTCCTGCCTGACTCACAGCTGCCACTAGGAGGGGCCCCAGACTAGTGAAGGGGTTCTTGTGGTGCTCAGCAAGGTTGGGAAGGTGGGGAGACTGGGGGCAGGGGTTCAGAGGCATGGCCCTGTGGTGCCCAGTGGGTCATAAGAAGTCAGCGTCACTATCTTGTCTTTGTTATGTTTTTGTTTTGTTTTTCAGTTTAATTATATGCACGAATGCTTCGAGAGGGTGTTCTGTGAGCTCAAGTGGAGAAAAGAGGTAATTCGAAGCAATCTTGAATTGGCCTTTTCATCTTTTATTGTTTAAAATGATAGGCCTGTGGCCAGATACCCGGGACCCTCACCTCCGTCTGTCTTTCTAGGAATACTAGTTAGAGACTGGTTATTCTTCCAGCCTTTGGATGCTGAATAGACCATACAAGAAAAGCCCGGCTTCTTCCTCTGTCTAGAGGGTAGCTGTTGGCTGCAGGCTGTTCTACCTCCTGTGACTTCATGGACCCTCCTCTGCCTGGTTTTTGTTTTTGTTTTTTAATCCAATCACTGCCTGTGTTGTTCCTGACCCAGAAGGGCAACTGTCCCCAGTTTTAGCTGTTCTGACTAGATGACTCCTGACAGAGCCCGTCGGGGCTAACCAGGAATGCATGTGTGTGGGAAGGTTTCCACTATTGCTTTACTGCTGTCCTTATGCCAGTGCTGGAGAATTTGGAAGATTCTGAATAATTAGCTACTTATTCTCAAAGAAAATGTTTCTGAAGTTCAGAAGGTAAAGTCAAGAACATGAAATTCATATTCTTGGTATAGTAGGAAGAACACCGGGCTCTGAGACTCAGACGACGATTCGCTCCCAGCATTTTTTCTCCCTTCAGTGTTGGGCAAGTGAGCCTCCCCTAGATCTCCGTTTTCTCATCTTTTCTCATCTGTAAAATGGGAAGGCTGAACCAGATTATAAATAGTTAAGCTCCTCTCTGGGTCTAAAAGGCTATGCTTCCACATGGGAAGTTGTAGCAGAGGTGGAGGCCAGTGAGGTGGAGTCATTCAGCCATGCGTCTGTGTGTCTGTCTGAGGCTGGCCTCCAGAAGGGGAGAGATGCAGATACCTCAGGCTTCCCAGTGACTGTTTTCTGTTTTCCTTTCAGAACATTTTCCGGATGGCGAGGTCACAGCAGAGGGATGTGGCCACCTAGCCTTCCCTCACCCCTCCTCTTCACCCTCATCCTCTCACCCCTTCCGTCTCCTGTGTCAGAGTAACCATTAACACAAAAGAAGAGAAAAAGGAAAAAAGTCATTATGTTCAAAAGCCCTAAACTAAATACTATTAATAATCCCTCTGAGTTTCATGTCTCTGGAATTGAGCTGGTAGAGAACGACAGATTGGTCCGCACCGGGAGCAGCTGAGTTCAGACAGGAAATTAAGCCCAACCACGCGCCAAAGGTGTCTTTATCCTCTCACCTGGGCCTCACACCAACAGACTCTCCTTGTACTATATTTTTAAAACTGGAACTATGAACTCCATCCATTTGCACTGTTCAGACATATATATGTATGTATGTAAAAATTATATATACACAAATAAGCTGCACGTATATACATATATATATTTCTTTTTAAATTTCATATTGATGGCAGTACCTTTTTTAGCTTGTGTTTTTACACACCTTTCACTAGAATTCATGACTTCTCTCTTGCTCTCTTTATTTTGAAACAAACTTTAAAAAGGAAAAAAAAAAATTTTACTGGGAAAATACCTCTCCTCATGAAGGACTCGAAAAGTTTACAACCTGCTTGGGTTTTTTTCCCCCTTTTTTGTATTGAGTGAAGATTCTGGCTTATGGGTTGGCATAGAGTCTGAGGAGCAAGGAGCATAGTTTCTTTATCTTCCAAGAAGCTGCTGGGAGGAGACCGAGGTGTATTTCTCAAGGGCAGCAAGACTTGCAGATCTGCAGGGAGAGTCTGAAGACTTGGTGTGGTCCTCGATTCCAAGACCGCTTTCCTGGCCCAGCTCTCTCCCACTCACGGCTTTCTAGCCATACTCCCCATCTCCTTCTTGCTTCCCGAGGGCCCCTTGTGTGCTCTCCACTGACCTAGAATGGAGGGGAGAGGTGGGCTCAGGAGGTTGATGCCACAGGAACCTGAAACATTTCATGGTTGTCATTTCCCATTTCTCCTTCTGAAGCAGGCAGAGTACTAGGGACCAGAGTTAAAGCCAATACCTTTAGGCACAAAGATTGGACTTAGGGGAAAGGAAGGAAGGAATACCCTGTGTACTTAAGCTTTTCCCCACTCCATTCCTGACCAGTAACCATCCATAACCATTACATTCTCTGTGACTTCCTTAAATAGCTGTGTTGGGGAGGAATCTGACAGTGTCCCCAAGGCCTTGGGGAAATTTAGTCAGTGGTCTGGGCCAGCCAAACCAGTGCCCATCCAAGCCAGCTGAGGACCCAGGAAGGACCAGTAGGGATATGGTCGGTTTGGGTTGGATCTCAACTTCTAATGAAAAGGAGACTGAAGGAAAGCCTTTCTGTCTCTCAAAGAGTTCCTCGTCTCACCTTGGGATTTCGAGACCCAAGAGCTGCACCTAGGGCCTGGGGGGCCAGGCTTACCAGCTGGCATCTCATGTTGGGATTTTGAGCCCTAAGAGCTGCACCCCAGGGCCTGGGGGGCCGGGCTCACCAGCTGGGGCAACACTCTCAGGCAGGCTCTGTAGATACTGCACTGGGAGCTCGAAGTCAGACTCTGATGCTGCTGAAACACATCCCTGAGCCTTCTTTTCTTTTTCCCTTCTCCACTCTCTTCACAAAACCTCCACTGGGTGGCGTCTTTGGCTTTGTCTAACTGGGAGGCCACCGTACCAGGTTTAGTCACTCCACTGAGCAGTGGCGGGGTGGTTTGAAGTTTCTGTTTTGGTGACTTGATTTTGCAGATCATTGTGAGGCCACTTTTCTTTCTCACTCTGTTACCCTGGCGGCTGCTTGCCCCAGGACAGTTGTCCATCATACAGGACAGATGTCTTCCCTCCCTTTCTCCAAACCCAGTTGGGATCACAGTGCAGAACGTAGGAATGCTCAATGTTTAAAGGTGCAGAGAGCGATCCCCGATTTGAAAGTTTTGATACAGAATTAGCTTCTTTTGGCTTAAGTGAATTTAATAATGAGCCAGAGGGCCCTAGAAAGGAGATCTGTTTCCCCACTCCAAGACGCCAAAGAGGCTTTTGGTGCCAGCTTTTTCCCACTGCAAACACAGCACCGGCTTGCCCCTGTGCTCTCAGACTGGGAGAGGAATGGACAAATCTGGGAGTCCGTGCAATGTTCCCACTGCTGACCTCTGGGTGTGAGGTGTCAGGTAGGGGGAGGGTGCCCTTGGGTCTGAGGCCCCTTGGAGCGGGTGCCACTCTGTTCCTTTGGCAGAGCACGCACTCGGTGCTTTGGAGACTGGGCAAGGGCGCCACGCATGGGTGGTTGGCCTGTTGGCAGAATCTGTTTAGAAACAGCCCCTACTGTCTGTACCAGTAAAAGCTGCAGTGAGGACGGGGAAGGAGGGAGCCCCTGGCCAACAGTACCTTTCCCCCTTCCTCCCACAGCAGGCCTCTTGGACCGGCGCGCAGAGGTCACTGTGGCTCCATAGGATCAAGCTCTTTTTTGCATGAAGCAGTGTTAGTGTGACACTCCTCCCCGACCCCCCCCCCGCCCCCCCCCCCCCCCACACCCTTGTTCTGTACTTCCTCTCCCTAATCCCTGCTATGGTTCTCAGTCCTGGGTTCTGCCCAGTCTTTTGCAGTTTGTCTCTGGAAAATGGAGGGGCTCCCCTCCCCCCCTCCTTCGCCCCAGCAGAGCCTGCAGAGTCTTCCTGATCTGTTGTCCTCCCCTCTACCACTCAGTTTCTATCCTCTGGTAAAAGCTCAGAGTTTTGTATAGATCAGGGAAAAATGCAGGCCCTGAGAAACCTGTCCCTGCAGAAAGGTTCCCTTGGGCCATGCTTTGGGCTCTCTGCTCTTTATATTTTTATTCTAGTCTCCATTTTCCTGCCCTCCTCTTGCCCTCTGCCTAAGCTCAGCCCAGCTGTCTGCTGAGGGCAGCTCCTAGGCCTGGCCTGTCTAGTTTTCTCCTGTCGTCACCCAGGCTAGTAGCTTTGGTTATCCCCTTCTAGCTCCAAACCTACTGCCTGGAGCTGCAGTACAGGGCATTGACAGGAGGGGACACATCTCTCTCCTCTCAGAGTTTGCCCCCTTACAGCCTGGCTCCGAGGAGGCAGTTTTCCTCAAGGGGACTGTATCCTGGCTGACCCAAAGTCTCCAGACCTGGAGGGACTACTGTGCCCCCCTTGTCTCCATCGTGCTTTCTGGCTGGATCAGTTCAGAGACCATTTGGACTGTTGGAGCCCAGCACCCCACTAGATTCCCCTGCCAGAGTCAGTGTGTCCCATTAGCTTCCCTTTGAAGGGGGGTGGGGGAACAGTGTGGCTGGTGCTCGGAGAGAGAAGAGCGACAGCGGCGGAACTCGCGCATTCCAGTCCTACCACCCGCCTGCCTCCCCTCTGCCCCCCAGCACCGTGCCAGGCTTCACCCCGGGGCGGCAGCTCAGTCCTCAGCAATAATCTCGAGTGTGGGGTGCGTAGGGTTCCTTGGAAGGGCAGGAGCAAAGAGGGCAGCGCTGTGGGCTGGAGGCACTTGGCCAGCTGCTAAATTAGACCCCGGTTTTATATCATGCCCCCTTTTTAAGCCGGTGAGCTGGGCTTCAGTGTTCCCCAGGCCATGCACACTTTTAATTTATTTGACAAACTCTAATTGTATTTTCACTGCAGTATCTTGTATTTTTTATTTGTGATTTAAGAAATGTGAAGAGAAAATACACAGACACATAATGGCTAACAGTGTTTCTTTCATTCCTTGTTCTACAGCTAACCACTCTAAAATTGTTTGGTAATGTCACTTAGTGTAATTAATTGTAACATATTCTTTTAAATAAATTGATTTATTGATGAAACTAGTCTATGCCTTCCTAGACTACCAATCCTTTGGGTTGTGTGGGAAGGAGTGAAGGAGGGGCCTTTGAGATTGGGGTTAGAAAGATCTGTCTGAAGATGGGAAGGAACACCTGGCTGGTCCTCCTATGAGGGCGGGAGATAGAGTCAGGCAGGAAGAGGAGAAGCCGGAAGGCCCTTTGCCTAAAGTTCCATTTCCAGTGACTCCTATGAAAATGCCTTCTCTTCCCTCAGGTGTGTCTGTATTAGTTGTGCCGGCCGGCCACGGGCAAGGCTTACAGAGCTCGTTGGCCTCTCCCAATAGAGCCCGGCACTGTCCCCAGCCCCAGCCACGTGATGCACTGTTTCATTGTTCAAGTTCGGTAGGAAACTGGGGTCTGGGACCTAATGAGTGCCAGCACAGTGACAGGCACGCTGGGTGGTTGTGCCCCTCCTCTGCCCACAGCCCCAACAGGGTAGCCCTGGATGTCCTCTGTTGTTACCAAGGAATCTCAGGTGCTGTGGCCTGTTTGGCCCCCTCCTCTCTGTATATGAGCTCCTAGGCCAAATCTGTTCTCAAAATCTCAGCGTTGGTATTAGGCTGGATATATTTGTAAACCTTTTTATTTTATTATTTTTTTTTTACCTCTGATTGAAGGGGTTTTTGCTCCTTGATTGAAGACCATGAAAGCAAGGACTAGGTTGACATTTCTTTTGACAGTCTGGAGAGAGACATTTGTTCTGGGTCTCCTTCACTTGGCCATCAGCATTGAATAATTGGAATCTGTGGAACCTGATGATGCAGAATTTGTTTTCTTTAACAAGGAAAGAATCTGTAGAGAAATAGAATTGTGGAGTTGAATTACAGAAGCTTAAGTCCACAAACATTTATTGGCTCCCTGCCACATGCAGGACATCGTGTCTGATATGGCAGCAGAACAAAGGAGACATAAGAGCCACTGTGTCAGCTTTCAGTCCAGCAGAGGAATGAGAGACGAACCGATGACACCGTGTGCGGCAGTGGAAGGTGGGAGTGCCATAAGGACTGGGAAAAGGGGGGGACCTCTGCAGGGGCGCAGTTAAGGAAATCTTCATGAAGAAAGTGGCATTTGAGGTGAATCATCCAGGATGAGCAGGATTTCAACAAGGTGTTCAGCAAACTTTACTGAGCCCATATGTGCCTGATGTTTATAATTGGGAATGAAAAACCATGGGAGGGGGAGGATCAAACCTGTCCAGATGAACAGTGAATAGTCCCATTTGATTAGAAATCAGGAATGTGTAGGAATAAGATGGAAGGGGAGGCTTTGGAGAGCCATGGATGCCAGGATGAAGCGTTCTACATTTAAAAAAAAAAAAAAAGAGCCAAAGTAGTTTGTGGTTTTTTTCATCAGCTGCAGTTTAAAAACATTGCTGTTTCAGAATACATGCAGAAGAATCCATTAAGACCCTGTTCTGATTAGTTGGTCAGTGCTGATTGAAAGGAAGAAAGGTGTGAGAAAAAAATTATGGAAGTAAAATCTTTTATGATTGAATAACATTGAATGCATGTATCAGGAGTAAAAGACTCCCAAGGTTTCATGTCTAGGTGGCTAGAAAATAGAAATACTTCAGAGTTGAAACAGGGAGAAAATGTTTTAGCTTTGGACCTATTATGATTTAGGCGTGGATAAGAAATCTAGGTATATAGATGTCCAGCAGTTACTTTTTTTTTTTCTTCTTAGTTTATTTATTTTGAGTAAGAGCATATGTGTGTGCGAGTTGGGGAGGGGGCAAAGAGATAGGGAGAGAGAGAATCCCAAGCAGGCTTTGTGCTGTCAGGCTGTCGGCAGGGCTCGAACTCATAAACCATAAGATCATGACCTGAGCCAAAGTCAAGAGTTGGACCCTTGACTGACTGAGCCACCCAGGCACCCTGTAGCAGTTACTTCTTATTTGTTAAGCACCTTCCAATGTTATGGGCACTGTTGAGGGTGATGGGGAAACAGTGGTGAACAAAGTGGAATATGTACTCAACATCCGTCTGTGAATGAATTTGTAGGTCGGTGGTTATAGAAGGGGAAATGCAGAGACAGATGAAGATATCAGGGGGTGCTGGTGGGACGAGGGTGGCCTGGACTTGGTGGCAATGGAGAGGAGAGGCACGTGTGCCTAGGTCAACAATAGATTTGAGAGAGGGGACGAGTGGGACTTTGCAGTTGGATTGGCTAGGAGGCGTGAGAGGGTAAACAGCGGTGCCTGTGAGGAAGGCCGTACCTAGACTGAGTTCAGGACAAAAGTTCACTTAGAAATACACACCTGGGAGTCCTTATCATTTATCAGATGAAAGCAATATATTGGAGGGAGACTCCATTTGTGGGGGGCAAGAGGAAGCTGCCTGATTACTCAGGGAAGGAGACCAAGATAAGGTCCAGAGAACGAGAATCTTCAAAGGACCAGACATTTGGCTCAGGTTGTCAGACTTGGAGAAGAGCGTAAGTCTTGGTCATGAGTGGGAATGCCTGCAGTCATAAATACTAGAAGCCAAGGCTGTGAAGGCTTTGAAATTTTAGCTGGAGAATGAAAAGACAAAGGGCACCCTGCAGGTCGGACAGGCTGTGCAGGGTCTGTGGTAGGGGAAAGGGAGACCCCTCGCCTGCCATTTGTACATTTCTAAGCTCTAAAAATACGGCCAGGGCACACGGATGCATTGGAGGAATTATCTGGCTTGTCCCTGCCACACTCCCATCCCTGGAGCCCCCCTAGCTCAGGATATTTTTCTAAATGTCTGTTTTCATTTCTATAAATGGAAGGCTTCTCCCAGTCCCTGCTATTAACCTGTCAGCTCCACTCTTCTGCCTCAAGAGGTTCATTCCCTTCTCCCTCCTCTTTATGTTGCCGTTAACGTTTGAACAGTAACTTGATTATTTTCAAAGAAGTGGAGTTTCATCCTGCTTGGTCTGAATTAGGGTATCACATTGTCCTCATTTCTTATCTCTTCTATGGTCCCATTTTATTACTGCCAGCCTCTTCTCAGAAGAGGTGGTAGTGAACTCCAGGAGCTAACAGAACTACCCCTCCTGTGCACCCTTCCTACTCTATCTGAAGCCCATGTGATGCCCGAGGAATCTGTTTATACAAGAAACAGTTCAGAGCTTCCTTTCTGTCTCTGAGTATCCTATGTTTTGCCATCAGAATACCTGGAGAAGGGGTGCCTGGGTGGCTCAGTCCATTAAGTGTCCATCTGACCTCGGCTCAGGTCATGGACTCATCGTTCGTGGGTTCGAGCCCCGCATCTGGCTGTATGCCCACAGCTCAGAGCCTGGAGCCTGCTTCGGATTCTGTGTCTCCCTCTCTCTCTGCCCCTCCCCTGCTTGTGTGCCCTCTCTCTCTCAAAAATAAACATTAAAAAAAAAAATACCTGGAGATGATGAGCACTGGGTGATGTATGGAATTGCTGCATCACTATATTGTACACTGGGAACTAATATAACACTATATGTTAACTATACTGGAATTAAAATAATAAGAAGAACCTGGAGAATCCCTGCCCCAAAATGTTTTGTTTCCTCCCCAAAGACCTCTCTTGTGTCTCCTTCATTCAACTTACATTTACTGCTTCTCTGAGAAAATCTGGCTGCAGCCTTGCAGGGAGGGGCACAGCGGTGAGCAGGGACAGTGGTCTTCAGTGTTTGGTGAGGGGCTGCCCGACATCAGGGGACATGCCGGGAGTGGGAAGCTTCCCAGTCCCATTGCCTCCCAGCTCCCACAGCCCAAATCCCGGGAGAACCCAGCAGTCAGCATGTCACTCTGAGACATGCCCTTTGGTCTACAATTCACCTTCCATCTTTCTGTCCTGACCCAGAAACTGTTGTGAGGCCTAGGCGAGACAGCCCCAGGGAAAAGTTCTAGTGTTGATACCCTATGTACACTTCTGCCTGCCTGTGACCACACATACGTACACACACACCTATATTTGAGATTTTGGATGCTCCTGGCTGGATTCTCTTTCTTCTAAGGCCCCATCCCTCATCTCTGCCAATCTAAGAAACTTTTCTTCCTGAAACAATGTCCATAGGTATGTTTCTATAATACTTCACATGTTGCTCTCAGTTTAAGAGAAAGTGAATGTGTGGGGGAGAGGTGGGGGGACTTGGTGGGGATTTACACATCCTGATGGAACAGCTCTGGCCTAAGGCTGGCCGGGCTGGAAGGTAAGTAAACAAGTTTAAAGCCTAAAGCCGGGGGCATAACAAGGGCGGGGGAGCAGGGTGCAGGTGCTGTGAAGTCAGACTACAGCACCTGTGTGAGCGTCCTGAACCCAGCCCTAAGGTAGTTCACGGAGAAGGATCTAAGAACCAAAGCGGAGGGACCTTAGGGCTTATGCAATCCACTTCCGCTTGATGGGAGTCCCTGCAGCAGCCTGCTTGATGTTTGTTGGGATATTTGCCTTGGGTCAAAGAACAGGTGGTTGTGGTTGAGCCTGCTACTTGTGAGAGTAAGTGGGCTTTGGAGTCTGACAGACTGGGCCTCCTTCCTGCAGCCACCCTTAGTAGCTTTGTGACTCTGGGGAAGTCAGTTAATTGCCCTCCAAAGCCCTTTTTAACCTGTCTGTAAAATTATATCCTGCCTCACAGGGCTGTTGGGAGGTTAGATGAGGAAATGCACGTGAAGGGCCTTCCACAGAATTCACAGAGCAAAGGCTTAGCTCCCTATATGCCCACTGGTGGGTGCAGTAACAGCTCACCCCCGTGAACAAGGGAGAAATGGGGATCGGGAACGTGAGACTCAAGTCCACAGCCTTCAGAGGGACAGGACTGGACACAAGAGGCCTGTTGACCTGCTTTCTTGCCACAGAGCATTCTAGAATTAAGCCCTAAAGAAAGGTGGAAGAATGGGATCGTGAAGCCAGCCAAGGCCTGGGCCTGCTCAAAGGTCTTGGACCCTCCTGACAAGCTTCTCTCCTACGCCTCCCTTCCTCCCCTCCCCAGTGCACAAAATCCCCTACCCTCAATCTTCCAAGACTCTCACTTGATGCTTTTAAACTGTTTTCTTTATTTAGACAGAAAAGACCAACTCTTTAAAAGTAAAATGCAATAAATAAATAAGTTAAGCATAGAGAAGTGTCTGAAACGGACTCCCCAGTCTCCCCTTACCACTCCCTCCCCCCACCCGTTTCTTTCCCCTAAAACCTCTTTCTAAAGAAAATGATCAGGTAATAAACCCCTGTCACCCTCCCCACACCCCTCCTCCCAAACACCCAATTACCCCCAAAGCAAAGGGAGAAATCAAGAGAGAGAAAAAATCCAAGGGAAACATTGTCTAAACTCCCAGAAAGAGAGGTGGCAGCATCCGGGCCGGGCCGGGCTGGATAACGCACGGTGGTAGTGGTATTTACACGGAGGGACCAGCAGAGACTGTAAACATTCTTAGGGGTTCGCGGGAAGTCTTTTCCTCGTGAAAGGAGGAGGGTCTCTGTGGCTGACTGGTGGAGAGGCAGCCCTCAGGGCTCCCCCACACCCTCCTTAGAGGGGCCCATGGGGGAGGCAGTGAGTTTTAGGGCCGGGGGCCCAGGGTCCAGGGTCCAGGGATATTCTACCTCTAGCTGAGGGTGGCAGGGAGTGTGAGAACCAGCTTCTGAGAAACCCCTAAGGTGGGGAAGAGGCTGGGGCAAAGGTGAGGTGGGGAGCTTGTGGGAGGCCCCCGCTGCCCTCCCGGGGCCACAGGCCCGCTGGTGGGGGACGCAAGTGCGAAAGCTGGGCCAGAAGGTCACCACAGGAGCCCCAGCAGAAGGCAGATCCCCCGGAGCCTTCGAGCCTGTCCCTTGGTCCCTCACAAAGGCCAAAAGGGCACCTGGGAGGAAACAGGCCCTTCAGGAGGGGCAGGGTGCTGGGATGGGCCGGTGTCCTGCTCCCCCAGGGCTATGAAGCAGCTTTTGCCCCAGAGCCCCATGGAGGCCCTGGGCAGGTGTGCAGAGAGGGCTGGGGCCAGTCGTGGGGAGTGGGGTGTGGCGCCCCTTCCTCTGGTGTCTCCAGACCTGCAAAGGAAGGAGACGTGAGTGAAGCTGCGGGGAAGACAGAGCCAGTGCACTGCAGGCCCTGCGGGGGAAGAGGTAGCTGGGCTGGCCGACGCAGTACAGGATGGGGCCGCCTGGGGCAGGTCATCGGGAAGGCTTCAGTCCAGACGGAGCCCCCCAGCTGTTGGACAAGGGGCAGGGACTGAGGAGACAGGAGGGAGAGGGGCCAGGATACAAGAAACCAAAGGACATTCAGAAGGAGATATTCACACAGCCCGTGAGAGAAAGGCTGGAAGACACGGCGACAGGGACTGGAGGGGACAAAGCAAAGGAGTGAGACAACAGGCAGGCAGGCAGAGACAGCTAAGAGAAAGGAGGAGAAGGGGCAGCGGACAGACACCTGGAGAAAGAGCAAGGCGGCCAGGTGAGGGCCTGGGGCTGGGCTTGGGGCTGCAGACTTGAGGGCTGAGACCCCCCCCAGCCCCTGGAGAGCGCTCTCATTCCTTTCCAGAAAGGAACAAAGAAAGCGAGAGAGAAATGCACAGAACACAGACCACAGTCACCAACCACTGTTGACCAAGCACATCCCGCGAGCTGCCCCCGGCCCTGACCCTGGGCTGAAGGGCGCTTTCCCTCCACGGCCCCCTCCCCAAATAACAAACAATCGGCTCCAAAGACAACACGCTCGTTCCATGCAACTTACAGGGGCCCGGAGCAGGGGTCCGGGGATGGGGGCTTCGGCCGACAATGGACACGGGCCCTGGGCTGGGGGGCCCCCAGGGTGGGGGGAGTTAAGCAGCCAGGATTGGGGGGAAAGGGGGAGAAACAGAAAATGTGGGTATTGTTCTTGGGTTGTGTTTTTTCAGGGGTTTGGCCCAAAGGAAATTAAACACAAAAGTCACCAAAGTTCACAGCTCTGAGGCCATGAGGCTGTGGGGTGGTGATGGGCAGTGTGGGGAAGGGGACCCATTCAGTAAAATTCAGGCAGTCCGGCATTCTATTTGGCCTCCTCCACCTGAACTGAAGCTGCTCCTGGGAGGCCTGAAGCTTGGACTCCCCCCAGTCTGTTCTGTGAACTCTCCACTGTCCCATGGGTCTGTATTACATAAGAATCCAGAGGCTATACTACCTGGAGTCCAGGGCACTGAAGGTCTGATGTCCCCACCTCTCAGGAGAATGTATATTCCAGGAGCCATGATTCTAAGACCCTCCAGTATCCTCAGCCAGCTCCCTTGCCCCCCCCCCCAACTCTACTCCCCTAATTCCACTCTGACCCAAAGGAAAACCAGAGAGAGACGCACAAACACATGGACACTGACCAGACAAACGAGACCAGATACTGAGGAAGATCTGGGGAGTAGACACAGATATAGACAGACTTGGCTCCCTCTGGGGTCACAGTGTGTGTGTGTGTGTGTGTGTGTGTGTGTAAGAGAGAGAGAGAGAGAGAGAGAATAACTCAGCTGGCTGAAACACAGTAGTGGAGGGAGTGATACCAGATCCCTGCTTCAAGTGCCCAGCATCAGGGGCGGGGTGGGAGTGGGCATCCCCGAGGCTGAGGGAATAGGGGGTGGGGCAGTCCGAGTGAGGGCCCTGGCTTCAGTGTGCGGGAGCTGGAGAGGTCACAGGACGGGAGCAGGACCCACCTGGGGGCCCTCAGTAGGGCCTGTTGGCATCCTTAGGCCGCTTTAGCTGGACTTTGAGGCGCTTCATGCCAATCTGGAAACCGTTCATGGCCTGGATGGCAGCCTGAGCGCTGGCCGGATTGTCGAAACTCACAAAGCCTGAGGTGAGAGGGGCATAAGGCCCAGCCCAAGCTCGCCTCACTCGCCTGTGCTTAGGGCCAGAACGTGCTCTTTGGTTCCCGGGCACCACCCTACTTCCTCCAGGGATCCCGGATGCCTGGAGAGCTGCCTGGCACATGGTAGGCATTTGATGGGTAGCTGCTGATCGATGGGTTGAGTGAATGAATGCAGTCCAGCCAGTCACATGCACTAGGACAGTCTTTCTGGCACTCTTTGAAGGGCAGCCCCTGCCTTAGCCTGGATAACTCTGAACCTGCCTTTTGCAAACACCCCTTCTGGCCCTACGTGACCCCTCAAGCACGGAGGACAAAGCCCTTTCTCCCCTGAAGCAACCTTTCAAAGACTCGAAGGCAAAAAACTCCACTTGCTGAGCCTCTTCCATACCTCACGGAGCATGAACGTGACCAGTGCTCAAGGAGAAAGGGCGAAGCTGTGGCATTTGGAGGACGGGCTGAGCCCGGACAGCAGCTGGTATGGGATGTCGCGGGCGTAAGGAATGATTCTTTCCAACTCTGGGACAATCTGGGTTTCAAAGTTTGGGCCCACCGCGACCCTAAATGCCTTCCAACGTCTCAGACCTTGTCCTCGTCTGGAGTGTGGCCAACACGTGCCATATTTCGGGTTTGGGATCGTCCTATTCTTACCAAAACACTTGCTCTGGTTGGTGGCCCGGTCAACAAAGACTTTGGCTGAGATGACATGGCCAAAGGGGACAAACATCTGGAGGATCTCTGAGTCCGTGAACTCCTGGGGCAGGTGGTAGATGAAGATGTTGCAGCCGTCAGGGCCTAGGTGGCAGCAGCAGAGACAGAGGAAGAGCTCGGTGACTGGCCCCAGGGAAAGCAGGTCCTGAAGGACCCTCCAGTCCCAGCCCCCTGCGTACGTGTGGTGCCAGACACCTCATCCCCACTCGCTTTCTTCCCACACGAGGGGACAGAGCCAGGCTTGGAGCAGGCGACAGGGAGTCCCCAGCCCAGACAAGGGTACTTTCCATCCCTGAAGGCTGGCAGCCGGGGGGACCCGCCCAGGCCGCACCTTCCCTTTGCTGCTGCTGCTGCTGCTGCTGTTGCTGCTGCTGCTGGGGAGGAGGGGGGGGCTGCTGGGCGACCAGGGCGGGAGGCTGTGGGAACGCGGGCGCAACCAGGCTGTAGGCTGCTGGGTAGGCTGCTGGGGTAGGAAAACAGAGCTAACGGGGGTCCCGGGATCCCCTGGCCTCCAGCGCGCTCTGGCCACCCCATCTCCCTCCCCGACAGCCCAGGCCAGTGAGGTCGACAGGGCCGAGAGGAGGCAGGAAAGGGGCTGCCTGTGACTCTGGGTGCCCTGCTCCTAAAGGTGGGACCCGTGGTCAGGAAGCCTGAAGGGGTAGCTGGCAGGGCGCCTCAAAGCCCAGCCCCCGTCCCGCTTGGTCCCTCCTGTCAGGGGCCCGGGGCTCCTCACCTGTGTAGTGCTGCATCCCCGCGTAGGCCTGCTGCAGGGGGTCCACGGGGGCCGCGGGGCTCTGGGCTGGGGAGGGTGGCACCCACTGTGAGGGTGGGGCGGGGTGCAGAGCACGGGGGGGGGGGGGGGGGGGGGGGGGCCGGCGGAGGAGGGGGACAGCAGGGGGTATGGCCACGCAGGCCCGGGCGTGACAGGACAGCGCGCCAACACACAGAGCCTGGAGTCTGTGACTGGTTGTGCAACCCTGGCCGAAGCCTCAGCTTCTCTGGCTGGCGACAGGAGGGAGCATCCCGGCCCAGGGAGGACAGAGCAGGGGAAAGCACCCTCTAACCCCGAGGCCTGGGGCCGGAAGGTGTGTCACAGCTGTCTGCCGGCAGGGGGAGTGGCGGCTTGGATGGTTGCTGGGGAGAGGGGTGGGCAGGCGGAGACCCCCACCTGGATAGGGGTGAACCCCGTTGGGATACAGAGCATCGGGGGCAGGCTGCCCGGTGGGCTGGGTGGGCACCGGGCTGTAGCCGTTGACACCCAGGGCGGCAGGGATCGCAGAGACGGGCGTGGCGGCCATGGCAGGAGGGGTGCTGGTTCCTGGGGGAGGAGGGAGCGACAGAGCAGAGCAGAGACGCAGGCAGACACACACACACACACACACACACACACACACGCAGAGAACCAGTCAGCAAGTCTGAGGGCAGAAGGGAGGAAGCAGGCTGCTCTCAGCCCCGAAGTCCGTTCCAGACCCTATCCGTGGCCTCCCCTCGAGGAGTGCCCTGTGTCCTACCCCCCACTGCCCCCCACACCATGTGATAGTTCATCCGACTCATCCCATCATCCCATTCACACCAGCCCAACCTGCTTTGCCCGGGCCTTACCTGAGGATGGGGTGATGGGGGTGGCGATGAGGCCATTGGCATTGATGGCAGCCATGTGCTGCATCTGCACGGCAGCCATGGTGGCCATAGGGCTGAGGTAGGCACTGTGAGCCGCTACCAGGGCTGCCTGCTGCTGCATCAGCTGGGGGGTGGAGAAGAGAGGACAGCGGGTCTGGGTCCCCTGTGCCTGGCCCGGCTCCCCTCCCAACCCTGGGCCTTGACACGGGGAGGATGGGGGTGGGTCCCAGAGGCCAGGAGGAGCTGGGGACATGCTGCGCCCAGCACCAGGGGTCAGTGCTCACGGCCTGGGTGTAGGCGCTGTAGGCTCCAAACTGCAGGGCGATGGGGCTGAACATGCCCAGCTGGGTGGCCACCTGCTGCATTCGGCGGAGACCTCGCTCCTTCTCTGTGTCAGCAAACTTCACCACCAGGCTGGACGAGGCACCCTGGGCGTGGGCCGCATGTGTGGTCAGAGGGACAGGGTTGGGGGTCTTTCCTTCCCAGAGCCCTCAGGACCCAGCCTCAGTTCCGCCCATGAAGGCTTGGCCTCTTTGGGAGAGCAGCCATCACTGTGCCTCCGGCAAAGGCGGAGATTTTAATCCCACTCTCCCCCTGTGCCAGGGTGTGCCAGACACTAGAAAAAGTTGAGGAACTTGAAGGCATGTGCTTGAAAAGGGAAAGGCTGACTAGAATCCAAAGGGCATCCCTGGCCTCTCCCTGAGGCATCTGGGCCAGAAGTTATCCCCAGGGTGGATCAACCACAGCAAATGTTTAATCTCAGGCTGGTCATGCCTGTAGCTGCCGCAGCCCCCCACCGTGACTCCTACCCCTGCACCCCAGTCCTCGTGGTGTGCTCAGAGGATGAAGCCTCACATTTTAATACCACCCTGCACTAAATAAAAACCCAGCCCAAGAACATTCGCAAGAACTGTTGTAGAATCTCAGAATCTGGAATGCAGTGCTCTCCCCAGTGTTGCATCGTCTGGACCAAGTTCCTGCTAAAGCCTTGCCCTGCCTCTGCCGAGGAAGCTTCGGAGCCAGCTAGTTCCATTTGAGATGTGTGCTCTGCTGGAGAGCCCTCCACAGGTGCCTTGGGTTGACCCTCTGCTAATGTGCAGAGGGCACGCGGGGCCTCTCAGCAAGTGTTCAGATGCCCAGCCGGTGGGGATGAGGGTACGGGAAGGTGGGAGAAGAGACGGGAGATGGAGAGGCGGAGCAGTGGAGGAGGCCAGAGGGGATGGCAAGGCTAGGAGGTAAGGGACAGGGCTAGGGGTCACAGTGGGAAGATGCCATCTGAAATGTGAATGTAAGTGGGGGTGCTCACTGGCAGGGTCCGGCTGCTGTGAAGGGTGTTGATGGCTGCCTGGGCCTCAGCATGGGTCTGGAACTTCACAAAGGCGCAGCCTACAGGATTCAAGAGCAATGAGGAAAAGGGTGAGTGCCCACCTTCACGGGTCCCCACCATCCCCGTTGCCCCGGGGGAGTCGATGGGGGAGGGGCAGGAAGGCCAGAGGGCCCAGTTGGGGAAGGGGTAGCGACTGGGTACCTTTGCTGGTGCCATCTGGCCCCCGGAGCACAGTGCACTCGTCTATGGTCCCAAAAGGCTCGAACATCTTTCTGACGTCCTCATCTGTCTGCTGCTTCCCTAGCATCCCCACAAAGAGCTTCCGGTCTTCTGGGGGGTAGGGCACAGGAGGAGGGGCATGTTCAGGGCCTCCTGGCTACTTCCGCTCAGGACAGGTAGACATCCTGCCCTTTCATGAACTTCAGCAACTCCCTGGAGCTGCAGAGGCTCCCCTAACCATGGGACTAATGCTTCTAGCGTGTGACACTGGTGATGTCTGGGGCAATGGGGCCCAGTTCCACTGAGCGCTCAGCCCGGTTCTGAAGGACTTGTACTTTTCCCCAGGCTTCGGTTTTGGCATCTCGACAGTGGGCTGGATCACATCCCCTCCGGCCACACTGCCTCCAGTCCCCACCGTGACTGGGAACCCTTTGGAATTCTCAGATTTTCTTCCTCCAGAGAGGCTGTCCCTCAGCTTCTCCAAGCCCCGGGGCCTGCAGGTTGGCGGGGAACGACTGAATCCAAAGTCTAAAGGTCCAGAACCTACCTCCTCGGCTCTCGCTGTCGGCTGGCTTGACCTGGATTGGCCTGTTCATCTAAAAGGGGAGAAGAGAAGGCAACTGCTGGGGACCCGCTCGGAGCTCCCCCCCACACCCCCAAGAGCCCTCCCCAGGCCGGGACCTGCAGAGAGGCTAGAGGGAGTAAACCCCAGGCCCTAAATTGCTGATGGGAAGAAAGGGATGGGCCTAATCTTGTTTAGGATTAGGACCTGAGAGGATTAGAGGCAGTGGAAGGCGAGGATGTAGAGGAGGCTGCTCCTGGGGCTGGCTCCAGGCTCCGGCGAGGCCTCAGGTGACACGGCCAGGGATAAGTGATGCTCTCTTTGGAGGGAGAATGGAACTGCCCATAGGACCTGGGTTCGGAGTCAGAGCCCAACCAAAGGGCTATTCGGCAAGAGCTGCCTCGATTTTACAAAGTAGGAGCCACAGAGGCCACTCCATCAAGCAGCCCCGAAGAAGACAAGACCAAGGGACACCCCACAGATGCCCCGACTTCCTTCTGACCCCTAGAGGTGTGTCTGCCTCTCTTTCTGCCCCCCTACACCCCTTGACCCCAGGGGGAAGGCACTCGGGCAGCACAAAGGGAGCAGATGCCCAATCTCCGTGGCAACGGGAGAATGCGCGCCATGGCAACCGCCCACTCAGCCTGATTTATCCCTCCCGTCGCCCTGGCGACCGTGGTGACGTCATCACTTCTGCTGCTCCACACACCCGGAGAAGGAGCGTGTGTGGGGGGGGGGGGGGGGGGAACGGGGGGGGCGGGGGGGGCACGTTCCGGGGGGGGCTGGGAGGGGGGGGAGGGGCCAGGACAAGCTTCCTGATCTGTGTGCCCAGCAGGCTCTGCTGGGCCACACTGTCCCTTCCCCTGCCTTCCTCCTCTAGATCAAATCCTTGGTGTCTCCCGGCTGAGAGGGCTCTGAAGGAGGAACCGCTGTCCCGTGCTTGTGTGAGACCCTCCCTGTACTCTGAAGTCCTCCAGAGCTCTGCCTTCTCACTCCCTTTGTTCAGTCTCCCGTGGAAATGCAGACACCCCCCAGTTCCACTCTCCATGTTCTTGTCTGGTGAGAAGACTTAGCAATGACTCCTGCAGGTTGACTTCCTTAACTAGGGTGGGAAGCACCTTCGGAACTGGAGGGAGGGGAAGGACTCAGTGTTTCACGTCTGAAAATACTTTGCTATTGCGGACTAGGACCATCGGGGCCACACCTGGTCACCCCACCCCGCTCATCGGATGGTGGGGCAGTCCTAGCTCCAGCGACCAAAAATAAATATTAACAAAAGAAACCATTTATCTACATTCTCGGGGGGCTACAGGTATCTGCAGGAAAGGCACTGGCCTGGGGCTCAGGACTGGCCCCACCACTCACTAGCTGGGTGACCTTGGATAAGTCACTTTTCTCCTCAAGGCCTCAATTTCCTCATCTAAAACAGTGGGGGCAGATCCGGTGGTGGTGAGTCAGGTTCCCCTCAGCTCTAGTGTTCTAGCCTTTTGGAGATCTTGTGTGCCTCACACAAAGAAGGGCAGGATTGATCGTTGCCTCCTGCCCCTTCTCATCCTGGACCCTCTTCCCCAGCATCAGGTCATCCCAGACAGCCTGACTGGACTCTGCTGGTGAGGTATCCCCAGCCCTGGATCCAATCTAAGTCCCACCTCAGCTGACACTCCTGCCCTGCCCTACCCCCATGTATAGATCTGAGAGCAGCTGGTTGGGGGAGGTGGGTCACAGTCCCCCAAATCCTCCAGCCAATCTGCCCCCAGCTTTATCCTCCGGCAATCTGGGATTATCCCATCGAGAGACTCAATCTCTTCAGGAGTGTGTGTGTGTGTGTGTGTGTGCGCGCGCGCGTGTGACAGAGAGGTGTGGGGGGGGTGTCAGATGCTCAGGGCTCTCAGTCATGTACCCTCCCCCTCGCTGTGCTCCTCAGCACCAGCCACCCCCCTACAGAAGAGGTAGAATCCTAACCAGGGTGCTTTCACAGCATCAGGGAATTCTTTCCTTGACACTAACCCCTTCCCAAAAGCCCCTGAGGATTTGCTGTTCCAGTTGGGGGGAGGGGGGCTGAGACCCAGAGAGAAAGGATGCCATTCCCTTGCTGCACAGGCTCCCAGGCACAAAAATAGCACCTCGATAAATATCAGCTGATATAGATTCACACAAAGACACACGCAAGCGCACAGGCCACAGCACAGACCACACTGAATGGAAGGGTCCCCTCACTCCCTCACAGGCAGCTGCCCCATGCCCAGCCTCTCCTTCTTGGCCTGGCACTTCCTGTGGGAAGCTCGCTCTTTGTTAGCTCAGCTCGGGCACACCTGCCCCCTCCCTTGAGTCCAGCTGGGCCCTGTTTACCTGGCAACCGGGAGCCGGGCGCCTCTCTTCCCTAGCCACCGCCAGCCAGGTGATAAGCCCTCCCAAGGGCCTCCCAAAGAAGAAGAAGCTATTTATACTTCAAGTATCACTCAGGCCCCCCACCAGCTTGGTCACTCATAAGACCCTCATCCTCATCCCCAGTAGCAAAGACCCCACTTCCAGGAAGAGCTCATTATTTCCAGCAAATCTGATTCTCCCGAGGGCACAGGCCTGCTGCTCTACCATCCCTGGCTCCAGACTTCCTTCCTCCAAGTGTCCAGGACTGCACCCGGGTCCTCTCCATGGGGGCAGAGTCCACTGGCCCCACAATGAGCCGACAGTGAGGGCCCATGTCTCCAGAGTGGGATTTGGGCCCAAGGAAAGGGGGTAGGGCAGGCTAGGCAGGAAGAGTCCCTCCCCAGGAGGCCACACCCTGCTGGCAGGAGGAATCCAGGGGCTTCTGGAAGAGCCCCTCCTGGGAATACTCAGGAGAGAGAAAAGGAAATGGGGCTTGACAGCCACAGGCCCAGCCTCCATTCTTCCTCTTTGCAGCTTAAGCGTCACCCTAATATGGTGGCACCTTCCAGATTCTGGGGTGACAAAGATGAGGAGAAAGGAGAGAGAGCTAAATGCTCCCAGTAAAAGAGAGCCTGTACTGGGGCGCCTGGCTGGCTCAGTCAGTGGGGCACGCAACTCTTGATCTCGGGGTTGTGAGTTCGAGCCCTGCGCTGGGTGTAGAGATTACTTAAAAATAAAATCTCTTAAAAAAAAAAAACAAAAAACAGAAAGAGCCCATATTAGGAGGGTGTAGAGGTTAGACAGCAGGAAGAACTTCCCACAGAGCTGGCACACTATACACACTTGCGTGCACACACATGCACAAACAACACTGCCAGGACGGCAGGTGGCAGAGAAAAGACCTGGGGGGTACAAAGGGGTAGGCAGAGCCTGGTCACAGACATCTGTTCCCCTAGACTGCCCTGATCTGCTCCCCCCAACCCCCAGAATGCGGGGCCCTATAGAGGACGGAATCCCCCATTTCCTATTAGATAAAGGTTCTGTCAGGACAACCTGGATTCTGTCTCCTGAGGCAAGGGCCAAAGCGGAGGCCTCAGTGTCACCTGAGAGCTCACGCAGGGGCAGGGCTAGACAATCATTAACCAGTCGCTCTTCTCCCTTACCGCCCACCCTGGGCCTATTTTTTCTGGAAGGGGAGGTGGCGCCTTTCTACACCCTGGGCAGCTGGAGCCCTGCCTGAGCACACAGGCAGCTGGAGGGGGCAGACCCATGACAGGTGCCCCGGCTGGCACAGAAGGCCCCGGGGGCTTATGTCCACCCCCAGGCCATCCCTGTCACCAAGTCTGCACTCTAGGCTCCCTTCCTCTCTCTGCCTTCTCCCTGGCCCCTTCTGGTTCCCGTGGGGGGGGGGGCTCCGAGAGCAAGACAACAGAAAGAGCCGGAGACACGGTGATAGAGATGAAAACTACTGATCTGTCAGGGTGTCCACAGAGAAAAGGAAGGAAAGGAAAGTTGAGATGTGACGTGATGGAAACCAGGCTGCCCGGGAACGTGTGTACCTACACCCACACACCCAGCCTGGCAGGGCGCACGCACGTGCATGCACACCCACACCTGTGGGCTCCCTGGATCCCAAGCCTTCTCACACACTCGCCCAGGTCCTTGATTCCATGGGCAATGGCTGTCCTGGCTGCCTGGCCACCAGCTAGGATGAGGCGGTGGGCTGAAAGCCGGCTTGGCTGCGAGATTTGCTCTCCTGTGCATTCAAGGGTTGAGGGCCACGGGGAGGGGGTGGGGCACAGACCTACTGAAGGTTTGAAGTTGGGAGTGGTTGAAGCAGTTCTAACTTTCCTGGATGCCCCCACCCTCTTTGCCCATCTGTCTATTTCCCTCCCAGGAAGAGATGGGGAATCAGCCTTTTTCTCCATTTCCCACATGGGGGAAGGGGCAGAGGCTGTGACACATGTGTCTCCAGCACCCAGGTTGTGCTCAGCAAATGTTTGCGGAGGGTAGGGGTGGGGTTAGCTCTCAGTACTACATCCTGAGCTCACAGGGCGGAAGACAGCAGAAGCGGACAGACAGCAGCATGGAGTGGTACATCCTTCCCCCCCAGGCGCATGACTGGGGACAGCCCAAGATTCTCCATCCCTGCCAGCCCAGGCCTGGGGCAATCTGCAAGCCTGTCTCAGAAGAGAAAAAGAGCTCTGACCTTGCAGGAGAGAGGCAATGGCGGAGGGCAGGCACCCCTGCTACCCTGGGCACACTTTGGGCATCGTCTGCAATGAGGCCTGCCCCTGACCCTGCTTGACCCCCAGCCCGGGGCCCACCGGGGCCCTACTCCACTCTGATGCCCGAGGCTCTTCCTAGGAGACATGGGGGAGTCTGCTAGAGTTCAGAAGCCAGCACAGACAAAGATGGAAGTCCAGCAGGCACCAGCTGCCCCTGCAGAGCCACAAGAGTGCCTGGGTGCCTCCTGCTCATTTTGTTGCACACTTGGTGATCAAAGTCTATCCCCACGCTTCCCAACCAGCTGAATTCTCTCTCTAAGTGTTGCCCCAAGAGCAGGTTGGGAAGTGGGGACAGGGCTGCATCTCCTCCTTACAAAGGTCACATTTGCTCTGCTAATTGCTGTCTGTCTTCTCTCCAGGTAGAAAAATGCATGCATCTTCAGCAATAAAGAGGGGTGTTAGAAGGAGAGGGGTGCTTCCTGGTGTTGAGAGGAAGTAGAAAATGAGCTCCATGTCTCAGGAAGGTGGTGAGCCCCCTGTCCCCTCTAGGGCCCTTCTCAGACCCCTGGCCCTGCAAATACGGGACTCACCCCTGGAAGCGTCTTCTGTTCGTGCAGGGCGCTCTGGGCCTTCAGGGCTGAATCGCGGGCACAGTATGTCAGGAAGGCACATCCTGAGGAGGGGCAGGGGCAAAGAGACCGGGTGGGGGTGAGTCCCTGGTCTCCTCTCCCTAAAAGTCTCCCCGCACCGTGAGACTAAGGACTGGGAGGCTTGTTTCTTCTTTCCACCTTCTGCCTGCGGGAGTGGGGACCTGTCTGAGGGCCCAGACATTTCGCCGCAGGGAGTCTCGGGGCAGAGCCCCAGAGCCTGGGAGGTTTATATGGTGGTGATATCCAGAAAGGGGGCTTGGTGTTGGGGTAGAAGGAGCATGTGCTGGCCAGACAAGTGCGCAATGTGTTCCTCTCTTCCTTACAGCTGGCCTATTTTCCCCTTCTCCTTCGCCTCCACCTCCCTCCATCTTGGTCCCTATCACCCCTCTCCTCTCCATTTTCCCAATTCCTCATCTCTCTCCAACTCTGAGGGAGGCAGGTGGAGGGTGGAGAGTGAGATAGAGGAGAAGAAAAGGGGAGAGCAGTTCCCTACAAGTCTCTATGCCGGTGGAGGGGGAGACAGCGGCCCCCACCCCCACCACAACCCCCAGTGCCTGGAGCTCTCCAAGTCCTGACCGGGCCTGACCCTGCTTAGTGAGAGTGCACAGCCCTGGACAGGCCAGAGGAGTGCCTCTTGGCCCAGCGCTCTTAACTTCCTGCCCCCATACTTCCCAGATCTGTACCAGTCTCTGTCCATCATACCCTGCTTCTCAGGTCCCTCTCTTGGGTCGTGGAGCTGCCCTGCCCAGTCCCTGTCCACTCTTACTACGTTGACCCCCACCCCAATAATGTCTGAGGTCACTAACATTCGCAGCCGCGTGTGCACACATACACGCAGACACACACACACACACACACACACACACACGCGCGCGCGCACCTGCTGGGTTCCTTATTTCCCAAACCAGATCTCTTGGTCCTTCATCCTTCTTTGAGTTCATCCACACCACCACCACCACCACCACCCCCACCCCTCCACCCCCCATCTCTAGGATCCACATCTCTGCATCCCCCTCCACAACTCTTCCCCCAAAGAGGCCCTCCTCGGGCCTGCATCTGAGTCCCTGCTCACCCTGGCTGTTCTTTTCCAGCCCTTCCATCGACTCCTTAGCCCCTGAACTCTTTCCTTCCACATTCGTCTTTTCCAGCCACTCAGGCCCTCCAGGCTGGCCTCCCCTCCTCCTAGCCTCCCCTCCCACCCCTGACACCTCTCCAGCCTAGCCTGACCCCTCACCCTTGTGCAGCCCGGTGTACTTGTCCTTGATGACAGTCAGCTCGAAGATCCGACCGAACTGTTCAAAGATGGGCTTCAGGTCCTTTTCCTCCAGATGCCTCGGGATCTGCCCCACAAACAGCTTGATGGCATCCGGCTCCTTCATTGGGGCGGCCCAGGAGAAGGGGCCGAAGGGATCAGGGAGAGGCCCAAAGGCCAAGGGGAGCTGCCCAGCAAGGAGGCAAGTGGTGGGGGCCGGGGCCCAGCCGGAGCTGGCTTTCCCTTTGGCCCCCAACCACAGTGCTGAGCAGAGGGGCAGGTCTTCACACAAAGGAGGCCCAGGGAGTTGAGGGCTAGGGGTCAGGGGTCTAGGCAGACACTGTCAAGCCACCAGGGGGCATAGCCCAGACAAATGACCTCCCTCCCAGAGATCTGGCAGATATCCCAGGATGAGGGTCAGTGTGCTCAGGACCTGGAGGATCAGGGTGGTATCAGGGGCGCTGGGGACTGGGGGCTAAGAGCTGGAGGGGGGAAAGGGCCTGCGGAGGGTGATGGAGAAGGAGGCTTAGGGGGGAGGGGCCTGGTAGGTTGCCAGCAGCTTCAGGGGTGGGGGCACTCCTGATGTGGGGCAGGTGGAGCTCTCGTTGGCTTTCCCGGGAGGACACCTCCCCTGTGGCTGATCCTTCTGCTGGGTCCGAAGATCCCTGATGCCAGATGCTGGATCTCTGATGGCGGCAGGGCTCCGGGGGTCCCTTTTGCCCTGCCGCCCCCCTTCAGCTCCTCCCCTCTGCCCCCCTCCCACCCCACCCTGGTCCCCGGGCCTGGGCTGCTGCCGGCTGCTCCCGCTGCTGGGGCTGCCTGCTTTCCCGGTCACCTGGGTCCCGGAGCTCTGCTCTCCGGCCGCGCTCTCCTCAACAAAAACCTCCCCCCTCCACACCCCCCTCCCCACTCCCACCTCCTTTCCCCTGACATCAGTGATGTCAGTCTCAGGGGTGGAATACAAATTCTCTACCCTGGAGAGGGACGCACAATCCAGACAAGAGCCACGCCCTCTTTCTATCTCCTTCCTCTCTGACTCCCTTCCCGCCCCCAGAAGAGCAGCTGGTCCTGTTGATAATAACCCTTCCCCCATCTTACTCCCCAATCACGAGTTGGGCAAGACACTAAGATGGAGAATTTATAGAGGAGCCCTAAGGTGGGGTCCATTGTTCCGGGGGCTGGAGCTGTCCCCGGTGCTGGAGGCGAAGACCCAGGAGAGGGGCGCAGTGGGGAGGAGGAGAGGGAAGCCGGCATCTGGGGATACCGAGTGTGGGGATCCAAGGAAAGAATCCAGGGAACCGAAAATGGCTGGGGAACAGTTGGGCAGGTTGGGGGTGGGGGGAGGAGGGAGGTGTAGATGGGGCGGGAAGCAGGTCTCAGAGCCTGAAGGAAAGGGCAGAAGGGCACCCAGAGAGGAAAGACGGAAAGGGGGGTGGGGAAGGGGAGAGCCAGGGTGAAATGAGCGCAAAGAGAGAGCTGTGCAATTTCCAGAAAAGGATCCAAGAAAAACTATGTCTTGCTGGCATTTGCCAACGCCCCCTTCTCTCCCTCTTGGTGGTTTGTGTGTTTAAGTGCGTGGGCAGGGAGGCGGCAGTGGTGACCACTTGGAGAGCTATTGCTTGGAAGCTCCTTGAAGACCAGGACACTGTTTAATTCAGCATTTTACTGTTTGGTGTCTATCACAGTGTGTGGCTCATACCTAGTTGCTTAACGGTTATTTCTCGAGTAAACAGTTGATGCAAAGCACCTCTGGTAAGAGGAGATTCCTGATTCCTTTAGGGGGAAGAACCACAGCTGGCAAGCTCCCCTGTAGGGCCGAAGAAACCCAATTTCTCCTCCCTTTGCCTCCTTCTCCCAGTTAGGTTCCTTGAGTGGGACTCTCAAAGTGAGTCTGGTAGCAAAAACGGGCGGGGGCAGCACACTTGTGGGCCATTACTCTCTTAACAACTATTCTATGGGTGATCTGTTTGCCCCATAATCTCCAGGGAGCTTAACCTCTCCATGCACTGGGGCCACTCTTAGCACCACTAGGTGCAGGGAGTACCTGCTGACATGGACTCTTCTGGACAGGGCAGCCCTTGCCTGCAACTCTTGTGCAACACCCTGTCTCCCGTCATTCCCTTCTTCACCCCAGAGTGTGGCTGATGTCCCCACAATGGCACTGATGTCTCTGAAATATGTCCTGACTCAGTCCCAGCAGCCCCCATTATTCAGCTACCACAGCAGGCAGGCTTCTCCTCTGGACAGGAAGTAATAGTAATAGCCAGTGCTTAGATGACACTTATGGTGTCCCGGGCATTGTTCCAAGTGCTCTATATTTACTAATTTGTTTAAATCTCAGCATGGCCCTATGAGAAAGCTTCTACCATTATCTCCAAATAAAGATGAGGGAACCGAGGCACTGAGAGATAAAATGGCTTACCCAATGTTGCACAACTAGAAAGAGAGCTCAGTGAGGGTGGAGCCCAGGCGGTCTGGCTCCTCAGTCCTGAGTTTAACCTCCATATCAAATGCTCCCTGTGGGAGTGGGGACAGTGGTTAAACCTGGCCTTTCTTCCTCTGGTCTTCATTTCAGCCCTGTGTGAGAAATGGCCTTCTTTCTACTGCTTGATTCTCTGTTGACCACCTCTCATTCTTCCTTGGCCTGGGTTTGAAGTTTGTGTTTGTGTGTGTGTGTGTGTGTGTGTGTGTGTGTGTGTGTGAAGATACGATTATACTTCGTCATATTGATGCTCAGTTCCTCCCAGTTGGGCCCCTAAGATGGGCATATTGAGGGGAGCTGGTAGAGGACCCAGTTCTGCGTGGTCAGAACACCTGATGACAGTGCCAGGGAACCAAGAGTACAGACACATCTGGAAAGTAACTTCCCACACTCCACCCTCACTGCTCCTTTTCTTGCCTCTTAATCTGATCTTGGTATTTATGGAGATGCTAAATAGATCACACCCTCTGAGGATGTCTTGTCAGCAGGTCTGCTGCCCTGCCTCCCGTTTGGGCTTGGGGCTAATCACATTAATTGAAATATTCAACATTTACAAAAATGAATTATAATGAACTCCCCTCACTCCTCCTCCCAGTCAGCAATTGGGGAGACAGCCGCAGGCAGCAGAATGCCTCCAATCCTTTGCTTAGCTTGTGGTTCCCATTTGGAAGGTTTCCATCTGAAAGGAGAGGCAGGGGTAAGGGGAGAAGAGGCGGGAGCTTGCCTCAGGCTATGCTTGCTGGGTGACTGTGGGCACATCTCTGCCCTGGGAGTTAACTCTGGCGGGGAGTAAATCCTACCACTCGGAGGCTATTCTGGGGAGCTGCTCTCCAGGAGGAAATGAGGCTTCCCAGCCCTCGGTCTTCCAAGGTTCTTTCTCTACCTGCCATCCCCAGGCTCACCCTCCTTCTTATTCTGCACTCGATGCTAAGCTGCCCTACATAAAAAGGATGATTGACTTTATAAAGGAAGAGTTCCACTACTGATTTTAGATTCTTAGAAAATGAGAAATGCTGAATAATTGAGATGTTTTTCAGAAAGGGCAAAATGTGGTGGTGCAAATGGTGGGCAGAGCTGCTAGTCACTTGCTGCCCTCAACAACTGAAAGCAGAGGGAGGCCATCTGCAACAGAAACCATGAGCCCGTACTAGCAACCTATTATATGATCTTCCGTCCGTCAAGGGGCTTCTGTCTCAAATGGAGAGGGAAGACAGGCCAACATCAGGTGCAACAGCAAGGACTGAGATGCTGTAAGAAAGCAGAAGTAGTTAGAAGTAGCCTGTCTTGTGTACACAAGAGGGTATTTGGGCTATGGGATGTGATCAGTCAAGAAAGCTGGATTGCTTCTCAAAGCGCAAGGAAACCCCAGACTAGCAGAAGGAGGATAGTACTTATTTTATGCATGGGGTGTGAAGATGGAGAAAATTTTACATGCTTACACATGCGTGTGTGTGTGCGCACACACTTCCCAGTCCAGACAAGCGCTGTTTATTTATTTTTAAAATTTTTTTTTAACGATTATTCATTTTTGAGATAGAGAGAGATAGAGCATGAATGGGGGAAGGCCAGAGAGAGAGGAGACACAGAATCTGAAACAGGCTCCAGGCTCTGAGCTGCCAGCACAGAGCCCAACGCGCAGCTCGAACCCACAGACCGCGCAGCTCGAACCCACAGACCGCGAGATCATGACCTGAGCTGAAGTCGGAAGCCCAACCGACTGAGCCACCCGGGCGCCCCTGGACAAGCGCTGTTTAATATAATGTGAGCCATATATGTAATTCAAACATTTCTAGTGGCCACATTAAGAAAGTTAAAGAAACAACTGAAATTACTTTTACTTCAAGTTTTTATTATTTATTGAGAGAGAGAGAGAGAGAGAGAGGGAAAGGGAAAGAGGGGGAGAGAGAGTATCCCAAGCAGGCTCTGTGCTGTCAGTGCAGAGCCTGATGCGGGTCTTGAAATCATGAAGCCAAGAGATCATGACCCGAGCCCAAACCAATAGTCAGACGCTTAACACACTAAGCCACCCAGGTGTCCCAAAATCACTTTTAATAATAGATTATACTTAACTGATATATCCTAAATATTATTCAAAGTGTTTATATATCTAAACTATCCAACATGTCATCCATATAAAGATTGTTAAGAGGTTTTACTTCTTCAAAAACTACATGTTCAAGGGGCACCTGGGTGGCTCAGTTGGTTGTGCATCCGACTCTTGATTTTGGCTCAGATCATGATCTCAGGGTTGTGGGACAGAGCCCAGTGTCAGGCTCCACACTGAGCATGGAGCCTGCTTAAGACTCTCTCTCTCTCTCTGCCCCCTCCCCCACTCATGCTCTCTTTCTTTCTCTAAAAATAAGTTTAAAACAAAGTATGTGTTCAAAATCCAGTGTGTATTTTACACTTGATAACACATCTGATACAGAAACATTTTGAGTGCCCAACAGCCACCGGTGGCTCGTGGTGACCATATCGGGTGATGCAGCTTAAGGGTTTCCCTCACTAGCTTCTCTTGGGGGTGCAGGGGCAGGAAGAGACAGGTCTTGGCCAACAAGAACTACCACCTCTGATTAACCTCTGCTCCTGCTTGAAAAAAGTCACTTGTGACAGATGGCAGCTTATCTACTTCTCTGTTAACTCTTTCTCCTAAAAACCAGACAAACAACCACAATGATTGCTAACCTGAATGAGATTCCTGGGAAGAGGCCTGTAGCTCACTACCTAATCTACCTTCAGTGATTTTTCCCTGGCTTGGGAACTGCCAACATTTTCACTTCTTCTCCTCCATCTTTGCTGAGAAGGATAGAAGCAGACCACAGAAAGACCCCCTCAGAGGCCATGGCCCAATGGTGGGCTTGTTTCTCCTTGGGCAGTGGTTCCCAAATCTGAAAGACCAGCCTTCCTTCTGAACTCTTTTCCCTGTTCTCCAGAAGGCCTTTCTTGGGCATGATCTCTGGGTGTGCAGAAACCAGCATGGTGTGTGTTGACAAGGCTCCTGCCCTTTCCAGGCCTATTTCCAGCTCTCTGGCTTTAGGTTTCACTTTCTTTTCTTAATTAGACACTAGAAGAACCCACCTTGAAGACCAACTGGCTTTCCCCTACTCTGTTCAACTGGGAGTGGGAGGGATAATTTAGAATTTAGGAGGAGCATGTGGTCTCCACAAGAAAGTCCAAGAGGGGAAACATCTGGCACGGGGGGGGGGGGGGGGGGGGG